ATGGAAGATAAAAAGCTTCAGGTACACCTAAGCATTTCTTGTGAGTTGTAAATGCGAAAGTATGCAAGCCGCTCGTCCTCTCCCTCTGTCGTCTGCTGCGTACTAGCGCACGCGCGCTTCGAGATCTCGAATGCCATGTGTGATGGTAAGAAGTATGGATTCGGGATTCCGACACGGTGGATGTGAGGAAAAATATATTGTTTGAAAAGAATTGGAATAATAATGTTATTGTAGCCATGAAAAATACATACACCAAGTCAAGTCTGGGGTGTTCTGCTCACTCACCGCTGCACTTCTGGTGTTTTCGGAACCTCGGATGCCCAAGGCGTTTTCCAGATGGTGAGGGCTCGATGTTTGGTGCCGGCGGTAGTTCCCCGGCAAGCCTGGTTGGCGCCCCCACGAGCCTTAGACGTCCGTCCGGGACATTACTTGGCTGCTGGGGCCCACGGCATTGAGATGTGTTCGTTCCTTCTGTGTCCAACCCCAAAACTGCACTGCATGAGCTTGCCTGAGCCGTCACATCTGGGATGTTGTCTTCCTTTTCTTCTATGACGTGTTCATATCATCACACCATGGCGCAGCGGCCAATGGGAGCCCCGTCGACGTGTGCCAGCCTATGGAACCGAAGGCAAATCGCTCCTATTGGGATTGCGGTGGAAACTAGGAGCCGTTTTCGTGCTTCAAACTGGTGGTGTCAGCTCGCTCCATGAGACAGTTAGTGGGCGCGTTAAGTCGGCGCTCCTTTACTCCTACTTCGACGCTCCAAGTTTCATAATTCAAGCGCAGCAACTAAACGACGCATTTTACAGGAGCACAACACACCAAGGCTGCTTTCCAAACCTGCCTCGAATTAATTTGATTTACCCTGGCGGATTATGTCAGAGATGTCACGTGACAACAAAAATAGAGAAACGCTGGATGCGGGTTGGTTTTCGATAACTACCTTTAACCTAGAGTTAGATCGAGTAAGTTTTGGAACACGGCCAGAAACCATCGAGAGGCCACACGAGCTCCTTCCGACCGTGGATACGGGTGGCAGAAGCCGAAAATATTTTGAAGATAAATAATTAGGCCCGTGTGGAGCGGCAGAGTGTAAAGCAAAACAGACGGCGACGTTATAAAGTTTCTACGAACGTTTTAATATTCTTGAAAGGTTTGAAGATTTGCTTCGTGTACATATGTGGAAGGTTACCTTGGCCGATCTCTTTATTGATGATGCATGCTGTTCCGGTTTAAATTAAAGACAACATTCTTGAACCCGCTCGTCGACGTAGGAAACCCTAAAATCTGTCAGAGATTCCCTGGTTCCGTCGGTTCCGTCTCGCAGCGAGACGGAAGCTACGCCGATACCGGCACACCGTCGTTCGATAGCACGTCAATTCGTTTTTAGGCGGTATGCATGAACAAACCTTTTCTGCAGAGCTAACTGGAGTTTTAGCTTTCCAATCTAAGTATCTTTATTCGCTGCGGCTGGGCTAAGCATTCTAAGCAGGGCAGCGGTCTGACTGTCTTTTCATCACAACTTTTCTGTCGCTGTGCTATCGGCATGCTACCGTTTGATAGATGAATTTCTTTTGCAGGCGAGATGCACGAACAAACCTTTTTCGGAACTCTAATTGCTGTCTTGGCTTTCAAATCAAATTGTTTTTACCTGCTGGATTAAGCACTAATCAACTGAAAAGGGGCAGCGGTCTCAACAGCAGCGCAGCCATCTTGTTTGTTTACGCGACGTCACAGAGCGCGAAGAAGTCACTCGCGCTCCGAGAAATTCTCGGTGCACGAAGAGCACGCTCGAGTGTCAGTCAGTCTCTTGTGGCACTCCTGTCCGTTTAGTGAAAGGAGCGCCAAACTCTTGCGCTCCGGAGCACGAACGTAACGCGCCCAATGCTTTCGCATTAAAAAAAAAACTCAGATTAAAAGCTATATGCGAAGATGTTATTTTAATTCAGGCACATGTGACAAGATCGATTGGGTCTCCTCCTCAGTAAAAGTTTGGGTGTTCAATGTTGCTTGCCAAGATACAAACATTCACGTTTGAACTCTTAACCGAGAGTCATAAAACATTTTGGAGGTGCTTATCTGTCATTCGCAAGAACCACATTTAACTTCACAGTCTCATCTTGAAAAAATATCTTCGCAGGTATATACGTGCTGTAGCGAATGCTTCGATCAAGGCTGCTGCAAGGTTTCATAGATTTGAAAACTTTAATTCAGAGAGGCCAGTGGAAAACTTAACAAAGTCGTTTGCTACAAATGTACTCTTCAGCTTATTGCCTGCTTGGGGATCAGCTGATCAGCAAGTTCTATCGAGAAGATCTCAGGAACTTGTTCAGAGTTAATGCGGACGGTTATACCGGGTTTGCAACTAAACATAGCCCTTGTGCTTGTGTTTGGGGAAATGGGGGGAGGTTCATTTTTGGTGGCGTGCCGGGAGCCGTATAATATCGCACCACGGGCCAGATGTGGCCCAGGGGCTGCCGGTTGCCTACCCCTGTGCTAGAGTATTCAGTGACACTGGATTGCGCATTTTTGCGACGTGTGTTGCAAGCCTGAACTTCAGAAAGCATCCAAATTTTGGCCTGTCAAAACTTCTTTGTTTGTCGTCACAGTTAGATTTTGTGCTGTTGCAGACGCCATTGGCGCACCACCCGCTCCGACACCAACACGTCGAACTTGCATTCAGCAGCACAGTTGTCAGTTGCTTTCGCATGAAGAATGGCCATATGTGGGCGCCAAAACCCTAAACCGCCCGGACCACACATATCAAAAAATACTTTCAGCCTTTCCACTCTGATGAAGATGGAAGACCAGCGAAGCTGTACTATGGTGGGATTGAAGTATTTAAAAAATCTGTTCAGCCAGCGGGGCGTCCTGTCGTCACTGGGCCTTGCGCTTGCGCTTGGCTTCCGTGGCACAATCGCGTCCGTGGCGTTGGCTCGCCGGCGCCAGTCACATCGCCGCTTCTCTTCTTGGCGGTGTTCCAAGCGAGCAATCTGCTCTTCTTTTGCAAGGGATTCGGAACCACTCGACGCAGTGGAACTCGAGGCGATAGCAGCTTTGTGGTGTTAGCGCGGCCATTCGCGCTGCTGCGCACGTCACTGCTTCTTGCACTCTTGCTCTTTTTCCTCCGAACGAACGGCACATGGCCGACCCATCATGAGTCCAAAGGGCAACTGATAAAAGCGCTAGTGCAATCTCGTGGTCATGGGACACGGGACGCGCACGATTGGTAGGTGAGACGAGGACGTAGGATGATGGTGAACTGGTTTGAGTTTTGTGTCGACATGCCGCTTGTCTGCGGACGCAATAGTGGGAGAACTTGCCCTTAACAGCTTCGCTGTAATATACAGAGAAACGTGGTGAGGCACCCTCCAGCACGGTCACACAGTGTCATATGAACAGTTCAAACAAAGAATGCGCAACTGCGCAATCAGAAACTAGCAAGGGAAGCTGTTTCAGCAGCCGTTACAGTTCAGCTTGACGATCATGGCTTTTACATCAACTGTTGCCAGTTCCTTGGGACCAAGTCCTGCGCACCATTTGCTACAGTGCATTCCATGCATTTAGTGCTGACAAGGGAAGGGTGATATCCGTTTGCACAGATAAAAAAAATAGGTAATTGTTAAAGAACCTGTGGTGAACTGAGGTGTTCCTGATATCGCGGCTGTTTTGGCTTTGTTGGCGGTGGAATGCTTTGGTCTTAATTATAAATCGACCCCGCAGTTCAGATTTTCAAAACATTTCTAAATGTGTTGACCTACAATCGTGTAAATACGGTACCAGTTCCCGATGTATAGGGTGACTGAAAAAACCAGACTCGATCTAAAACGTGCCGTTAAAATTGGCGCCTGCATGTAGCCATCTAAACTTTTCGTAAAAGGTACATTTCACTGGTCGGTTTTATTTTGTAAAATTACAAAGCTTTGCTTTCTTCCTGTAAAAAATGGAGCCAAAAAACTTGCCAGGGTCAATGGCGGACGGCGACGCAGATGACCAAGTCCAGTGGCGAGACACGTTTGGCGCACATATTGATAGAGGGCGTCGGAAGCAGCGTCGGAAGGTGTAGCCGGCCAGCGAAATAAAGCAGACGACACACAGACAAAATTTGTTGGCAGCAAAAGCGCCATTGTTATGCCACCACTTTTTATTTTTGCTTCAAGTTCTGGCACATTACGAAAAGATTACAGTCTAAGCTCGTTATAACAGACCTTGATTTTAACCAAGGTTTCGGTCTGTTGTAAAAGGAGTATGTTGTATGCAGATATGAAGTTGAGTCAGTGGTACATTGAGGAAGACCAACCGAACTTCACAGATCGGTATGTTATATACAAATGTCTGTTTTAACCAGGTCTGTTATAATGAGCTTAGACTGTATGTTCATTTTAGTAGACCAGGGTCGTCGCGAGCCATCTCGATAAGGAGGTAGCGTCATCTATCAATACTTGCACCAAATGCGCCCCGTCACTTGACTTTGTCGTCTGTGTCGCCATCCGCCGTTGACCCTGGCAAGATTTTTGGCCTTATATTTTACGGAAAGGGAGCTACGCTTTGAAATTTTACATGAAAAAACCGACCTATGAAATACGCCTTTGACAAAAAGTTTAGATTGCTATTGCAGGTGCAGAGTTTTGCAGCCGGTTCTAGACTGAGCCTGGTTATTTCAGTTACCCTATATATGTTTAACGAGATTTGTTGTCGGGCTAGTTGGTGCATGATGCTCAGAAAATTGTAAGTGCAAACAGTGATGGACGCGAAAAATGGGACACGGAGGAGCGCCTGTCCATGTCCCCTTCTCCGCATCCGTCTTTGTTTACGCCCACCAGTTGCCTGAGCTAATATCTGTTGAAGACTCAAGTTAGCTGTTGTGCAACATTGACGAGTTTCCCCTCCACAGTAGAGGCTTTGAAGCCGTAAGTCCATCTGCAAACTCGAGTTTCTGACAGCGTTCTCTAGAAGCCTTTTCCTCATATCACCCTTATCTTTTTCCCTCTCACATTCAGTTTCAAATTCTCCTCTGAGCATCAGAAGGACAGGTAGCAGGACGCCTCTCGCACGCCCGCCATCGAGTCGGCGATCATCTGTGCCTGGGACCCTGTTGCCTCGTAACCTTCACCTCTCTCCTCTTCTGCAAGCGCTTGTGACAATGGCATCGCAACCCCTGCATACGTTGACAAAGTCTAACGTCCCGTCTTAGCGTGCTCCGTAAAATACCTTGCACCGAGCTGAGACGTTTAACATGTTTAAGTCTGTTCAATTCCTTGACACGAGCACCATCAGCTAGTTCCCTTGCAAAAGTTGTGAACTTTGGCTAAATTTTATATTGAAGGGAATGGGAGGGAGGAAGACGGGGCATGGTCTCACAAGTGCAAGGGTAAGCTTGGTATTTTACGGCCGTCACGTCGGAGCTTTGTTGTCGGCCGAATTGAAGTATGATCTCGCAGGCCATGGTCTGAATCTTGCCACGGGGAGTTGCGTGGCACGTTTCTCTCAACGCTAGACCGATGCGCAGTCGTTCAAGGCAAGCTCAGCAGTGGAGCTCAGACTCTGTCTCCTGCGGTGTGTGAGGGTCTGACTGTGCCTTGCTTCTTTTCAAAGCTCAACCACATTTTTACCTGCGAGTGTGCTAGAACTGTCTTTTTTAAGCTGCATATGACATGCCTGCATTGTACAGATCATAGTTTTGTTCCCTTTATGAACAAAACTTGGAAGAGTTTTAAAGGGTTTGCACTTTTTGTTTGTTTTATAACTTCTTCCAACACGTCTGTTGTCTTTTTTATTTTTTGGAGTGGGGCGTCAAGAAAATGTCATTGTCAAACACTGCGTTGGCTTCTGTGTAGCACCCGTTTTGCATAGTCGCAGTATTGTACAGTCGGCACACAGATAACAAGCTGTTGTATCGCAAATATAATCTTGCGTGTGTCGATGGTTCTTTACTGAAGGGTTTGAGCAGGTATCTAATGCCTGGTCCAGGCAGTTGCATCAGTTGCATCCAGGGTGACTGAAACGGCAGCAACGGCAGAGTCACCTAGAGTCCTAGGCAACCATTTTCTTTATTGTACATGGCGAGCAGTGCAAGAAGTGGCTTTGTGAAGCTGTTATTAGTCACAGTTGCCCCGGTGCAAATGTCTGAACCAACCTTAACATTAAAAAAAACTAAAAGGAGGAAAAAACATTTTCTCTGTTGTATTCTTTGTTGTCTTCCTGCTTGGTACAAAACATTTCTCTAGCAGTTTTATTACTGCATTTCCCATGCGCAGTAAAAATCGGCATGATAGAAAAATTGAAATATATTTTGGTTTTGCCCGAATTCAGTGCATCTTGTACATATTGAGTGAGCGCTAAAAGTGTATCTTTGTTGGTTATATGTATGCTCATCTGTTTAGCATGTATACTAAAGGACATAGTGTCTTCAAGAGTGCTTTCTGCAATGCCTTACGAATGCTGAGTGTATAATACCTTGTTTTTATTTGAGCTTCTGACAATCTTGCAAGTCCCCCGGTTGCTTCAGAGGTGTCCTCTGTTTTAAGTTCCAATGGTGCCATTTCTTTTAATTGTTTGCTTTTGTTTTCTCAAACTGTGGCACCTTCTGCCTGTCCTGTGCTTGTCTGCCAAGAGAGATAACCGTTCACATTGATGCTTTGGTCTGAGACACCTTGGATTGGCTAGAAAAATTTGGTTCTTAATGTTTTGCAAGTTCTGATGGTTTTTAATGAGAGTGCATCAACACTACAGCTGTTTTTCCTGTGTTTTTTTTTTGGGGGGGGGGGGAGGGGGGAAGGGAGAGGGGGCATACTGTACATCTCAGTTTGTTTTAGAGATCTTTCTGCAAAATATTCAAAGGCCTGGCAGCCTTTTGTGACATCAAAGGATGAAAGGTCTGTGTTGGTTTTATAAACTACCAGCTCTTGTTTATGATGTTAGATCTGGATTTAGGGATGGTTTAGTGGCACGGATACCAAACTACTATACAACCATATACAACCAGCAACACTCCCCATAAGCCGCAAACAGATGGGGGGTTATAGTAAATTTATTGCGCAATAAAATCTAGTCATAGTTTACATAAGTTGCCTAAAATTTGGGATGTCAAACACTAATGCCTTCTGATGATACTTGCATGTGCTCGTGCCAAATGTGGCGTGTTCAGAAGAGGCAGTATGTTTGTAAAAGGAGGAGAGTGGTTGTATGCCAACTGCTCTTAGGAGCTATCATGTGTTCAAGAATTTGCCTCTTTGCTCGAAATCTTTTTTTTTTTTTAAATCTTGCAGCTTGTATTTGTAAAAAAAGGGCACAATGCTTAAGATTTTTTTCATTGGGATTAGGTTCCATATATAATATGGTCGGGTTGCACTTTACTTTGTTCCCTTGAAATGTTCCCTTGTAACTTGGCAGATGCTCAAGCATGTGTTACAGTTAAATTTTGTTCTGTTTCTTTTTGTTTTCTTTCTGGAAACTAGTTTTTGCTGGTGCAGCACAAATATCCCTATCATGCTTGGTTGTCCTCTTGTTTCTTCCACTACCAATGTTGTCGTGTTTTTTTTTTTTTTTTCGTTTTTTTTTTTTTTATTTAGTGTTGTTATGTAAAAAGACATTTCTTCCTGGCTATATCTTGAGATAAACCTTCTTTTATGGTCAGTTCTCTGTTCAGTCAAAGCCAGAAATCCTAAGCTAAGTGTTTTCTTGACTTATTGTAAATAATGTACATGTACCTTCTTTTCATTCTGTAAGTCATGTTCGAAGTCATCGCATGGAACATATTATGCCACCATCGTAGATAGTGGGCCGATTAGTATCATGCGCGAAAAGCTCGGGATGCTCTCCAAAAGTGGGTCCGCATTTTATACGTTTTTGTACATAGGGCGTGAAATTTTGATACCTCTGCGGACAAATAGTCGCATGATTGTGTTTTTTGTTTTTTTTTGTCTTTGTTTATTAAATTTTTACTTCATAGTTGCTCACGTTTAACCAGTCTGATGTGCATAATATCTTTGAAGCCCACAACTCCGATTTGAGATAATTGACGGAGCATGATATGCTAAGCCCATCTTTTTTACGATTCTGCAGGCTGAGTGAAATGGGCATCGATAGAAAACCCCTTTTTATCCGCCTCCAGTCGTGCTGAGGACTTTTTCTCTGCAGAACACCTGTTTGGGAAAATGTATGCTCCAATGAGTATTTCGTATTTTGCTCATACTGCTTATTGGGCATGAGCATGTGGAGAATCGAACTGGCGGGAGCAATGTGTGTGTGTGTGTGTGTGTCGGTGCCTTGTATGCTTCTAGTCTTGTTATATTTTAGCAGTACTTGCTCTGAATAAAAAGATTACTCGAGTGGATGGAATAAATGTTTGCATCAAAATTCTGGGGTGTTTCTTCTTCTTACTTGTGTCTTGCAGCAAATTCCTTGTAAATTTAAACTGGTTTTCCTAGCACTTTCTTTTTTTTAGTATCTTTATGTGCGGGCATACATAACAAAAGCATGAGTGTGGAGCTTATTCGGGTTCCTTCAAATCCATCTGCAGATTTCACAGTGTGCGCTGAGGGATATTCACATCGAGGTAAGATAAAACCTTACGGGTTTCCCCTGGTTTGAAATTTCTACATTATTGTTTTTGTGCCTCCTACAATTAATCATTAGTACATAATGTGAGGTTGCAGGTAGACGAAACGGGCAAAGAAACGACATGGTGAAGAAATGGTGTGATAGTTTTCCCTCCATGGGACTGCACCAGTATTGGGACATTCTTGGTATTTAGTAATGATTGCCCTCATTCTTTAGCTATATTGTTACTATGAATATAATATTTGGTTGAACTTCACAGATTCTGGAGTTGACAGTGAAAGTGACTAGTTCAAATATTTCAGTACTGTTGCTATGAACCTAAGGCCGACGGACAACCTCGGGTTTCTGCAGGGAAGATAATCCTCTTAGTGTTCCCCTCTCCTAAGCTGCGAGGAGAGCCAAGTCACCAAGTTGGGGCGGGCAAGGTAAAAAATTGAGAGGATACAGAAACGAAGGAGGTGGGCAAAAGTGGAAAGCGTAAAGTGTATGTCAATTGTCAACCTTTTTCTTTTTTTGTAAACAGTTTGGTTGGGACACGCGTGTCCAAAACTAAATTTTACTCAGAGCAATACACCTTTCCAAGAAACACTCTACCCCAGGGGCAGCAAACCGTCTCCGAGCCCAGTGACTGGGTTTGAGGCTAGACTCTCACCGGTGTCCCTGCTAACCCTAAAGCGCCGTTCACACTCTTGCGACCGAGAGAGACCAGACCGGTTTTTAAGCCTTTTGCGACTTTTTAGGACCGGATGCGCTGCAGCGGAGCTGGTGCTAAGAGATCGCAAGAGGCTTAAAAATCGGTCTGGTCTCTCTCTGTCTTAGTCGGTCGCAAGAGTGTGAACGGGCCTTAACCGAGTGGACTGTGATTTCGATAGGCGCAGCCTTCGTAGTCGCAGTTTCAAACACTGCTGGCGGCTAAATTCTCGTCTTTTCCCGCTGTATTTTGTGTTTCATGGTGCATGTGTTTTCCCGAAATCACTGAAAAAGCATTGTACCACATTTGAAAAAAAAAAATGAAAGCAATAAAAAATTTATAAACCATTTTTGTTCTGTACGTGCACAACAAAACGAATGCGACTGGAATGTATAGTTGTAGTGTTTTTTTTTTGTTTTTTTTCGACAAGTTTTGATGGCGCTGCGCGATTCGCCGAAATTCAAACGACAAGTGCTTAGCTGTCGAAAATAATTTACAACAGAAGATAGCCGAAAGGCATACATTTTTCACGCTCACAAATAACATGTTTACCGATGGACGGGTCATGGGCATTCAATTTAGCAAGTGTTAACATTCAAACATTATTGTATTGCCACACGATGCTGCGTTATCTGAAAATAATTTATTTGAGAAAGATCTCAAATAACACAATCACAGTCAACGACAGTCACATCTTGACAATCGGACGGAATCCAAGATGACTTTGTTTGGGGAGAGCTTCCTTTTTTTACAACAGCACCAAGGCATAGAAACGAACGTGACTGACCCATTTCCCACCCCAACCCGGACAACTACGGATTATACGCAGCACGCATAAAAAAAAATTAAGTGGAAATTTTCAAGAGGGCCCAGAAAACGTTGAATGCAAAACTGCAAAAACGTAGGTAGAGAACCGCGCAGAGCGGGTCTTCACAGTCCAAGAGAGTGGCAGAAAATTTCTAGCTGATGGAGAGCGCGAGAGTCGCACCAGCCGCATCATCATCAGCAACATGGCGGCGGCCTAGGAGCGTTTTTTGGAAAGGTGTATATAGACCGTTTTACTGAAAGAGAGCGAGAGAGAAAAGGGGAAAGGGCTACCGGCACTTTCCCCCTTTCTGATTGTGTAGAAAGAGTGAAAGTCCCGGATGAGAGGCTTCGCCGGTGTTGGGTGTCTGCTGTGCCCGAACTTCGGTCGCGCTTTCTTTTCTGTTTTAAACTCGCAAACTTAGTTAGAGCCAGAGGCTTCGATGGCAACAGTCCCCCGGTCATCGGGACACCATTGCTGAGTCATAGGGTGCACGAATAAAAACAGAAAGCATAGAATACTGTCCGAGGACATATGTAGCTTGCAAGGAACCCGGCAACGCGAGAGCGGCTGCAATGTCTTTGAACTCCATCGCTTTCCACATGAGCCCTGTCTCCGGCGGCAGTGGATTGCGTCCGTAAACCGAAAAGGCGTTTCCTCAACGCCATCCTCTCGACTTCGCTCGGAACATTTCGTGAATGGAGCACGCACCAAACGCTGTACCGCCGATGAACATGGGGTATGCTCGCAATGTGCGTGCTAGTTTTCTCATGATAACTGCTGTTTCAGCTGGTAAAATTTTGTAACTGAATTTATCTTTATAGTGATAATTTGCGGTGGTGACTGACTCGATTTTATCATCTACAACACTTAGTTGAAGGCTCATTTCCTCCCCCGGGTGTGTCTGGAAATTGTTGAAAACGCATTTCTACTGGTTTTCTTTTTTTTTTTTTTGTTTTAATCGCGATCTTTTGCGCGATACCAGGGAGCCGGCAAAAGCGTCCTTGGAGTGCCGCTGGTGGGTTGTTTCCGTTGACTAAGGCGCTTTGAGGCGCTTGATAGTCGCCGCAGGGAACGTCTCGTGTGTTGCGATCTGTGTTTTCCAGCCCAGTATGCACGTTTCTTTGTTTGAGTCATGGCATCCGCCAGTGTGGCGACGGGGGGAACAGCGGCAGCGAACGTGCAAGCTATAGAAATTGGAGGTGAGTACCCACAATATTGCATCAAATAGTAAGATAATTCGTGGCTGCTTCGAGGCTTTCTGCGGTTCGATAAAAGTACATCTGGAGCGTCTTCGTCGTTCATTCACAAGGAAATATAAGAACAGGGACACGAAGATAAAAACAGCAGAGCAAGACGATATGTAGCAGCTCCGGGCGTTTACAAAGTTAATTGAGGTTCCCGTTTCGTGTATAACTTGTTGATTACAACTAAAAGCGGCTACGTTGAAGTAGGCCCATTGCAAGCAAAAATGTATAAATGGTTCATCATTTCCAGTCATGCGGAACGCAATGGAGCTTAAAAACATTCCAGCCGTACTTGCTTTGCCGGATTCCATGCAAGCTACATAGGTCCTCGGACAGTACTCAACGCTTTCTGTCGTTATTCGTGCACCCTATCACCCAGCAATGGTGTCCCGATGACCGGGGGACTGTCGCCATCAAAGACCATGACTCTAATTAAGTTTGGGAGTTTGAAACGTAGAAGAAAGCGCGAACGAAGTTGGGGCACTGCAGACGCCCAGCACCGGCCAAGCCTCTCATCCGGGACTTCCACTCTATCTACACAATCAGAAAGGGGGAAAGCGCCGGTAGCCCTTTCCCCTTTTCTCTCTCGCTCTCAAAATGGCGCTACCCACGCGTGTCCCAAATAAAGTGTTTAAAAAAATTTTTTTTTTATTTTCAGGGACTTTTTAACATGCAAACAATATATATTTTTAACCTTTAGAAACGAAACCGAAACAAGATACCAACCATTGAGTAGATGGACAGTAACTTGCGGCATCTATGGGCATTCTTCGAAACTCAAGTTCACCTGACTAAACACTCGTGTGTTTAGTCATGTGACCAACCAGCATGGCTAGCTTTTTGGGCTGGAAGTGTAGTGTCTGTGCATTCTTCTCGTAGAAATGACTGTCCGAAGCGTGGTTATGCGGTTACCGTGAAGCACAGGGGTGCCATGGGGGCCAGAGATTCCAAGCCCTGCTCAATCACGAATGAGGATGCCTCCAAAAGAGGTAAGGGCCCGTCAATTTACAAATTGGCTTTCCGACAGTGGGATGGCCGCTAAGCCTAATGCTTTCCGCTCACGAAATGTCCTCGTCACTTGTGGATACTGCTGAAATAAAAGCGAATTTATTTTTTCTTTATTATGAGTAGAGTACTTCGTCAACGTGTGTATATACCCGATCGACTCGAAAGCTACCGGGCGTGGGTAAACAGAGGAAGGTTACACGGTCGTGTGTTGCAAGTGTTTACCCCCAGCTCCGGTAAAAATCTCCATTCAGTTTCTTGCTCGAGCGTTTTAATCTAATCGGAGTTGTTCGGGGCTTATGCGTCGGGAGGTCACGCTTTTTCTGCTTAATAAATTGAAGGCTATCTCCGTTCCTCGGCTACACTTCTGGACGCTGGGGGGAGTATGTCAAGAGCCGGAAAATATTCATAAAAACAAGTGGTGGTGGCGATCGTTCGCGTGAGCTCCTTGCGATATGTTGACGATGCTGGAAAACTGCGCAACAGTCGCTGATTCATGCATTTGTGTGGGAGATTTTATCTTGAACGGGTCTAATTAAAATCGAACTAATTTTTTTTACTTTATTTAAATGTGTTCGCAATCGCAGCCTTTCGAACGTCGCGATAAACACATAACGTAGTTCATTGATTCATCAAGCGATGCGTTAAAAAAAAAAAAAAAAAAAAAAAAAAACGCTTCGTGCGTTGTGCCGATATTTCTGTGGCTTTTTTTACAGGTCATTATTATCGCCTGTTTCTCCATTCCTGAGGAGTATCTCTGAAAAGATAGAACCCTCAGTGGCGTTATCTGAATTGTACGACCGTTTTGTTTATCGGATTGTAAATAAAGACGCAACTTCTCGTCGAGAGATAGGATGAGCGAACTTCGCTTTGTAAAACTGAATAGTGACGGTGCTATGGTTTTCTATTACTGACACCGTTATGTCATCCCACAAGGAAAGAGATACAGAGAAAGAAACACTTGTTCTGTCATTCAGAAATCTTTCGACTGGTGCGTTGAACTTGGTACAGTGGATAGTTTATTGTTCAATTGGAAACCTTAGCACAGATGTATCTTGTGATGGGATAATTCAAGTAAAATATGACAATTATAGAACTTTCTACGTTTGTAGCAGTTGCAGGAACTTGAGCTTCAGGCTTTGGCTTAGAGCATTGAAAAGCCTCGGGCTTTGAAGCCTATTAAATATAGAGCATGATAGTTTACACAGCCTGGATATGTGACATATATCCAGGCAGCCCACAGTTAAATGACTCAGAACCATGATTAGGAAAGTTCAATCTAGAAGTCGGAAACAGTCAGTACTAATGCATTTTATGCTTTTATTAGCAACAACTCTGACTTTCCCACACCTGTCTAAAGTTGCTATTAGTTACAGTTTCAGGAGTGCCGTGATTAACCTTTATAGTCGTAATTGGCCACAATAATTGTTCTGAAGATTTCGTGCTACTTGTTTATCGCTGTGTATTTTATTTTTTTTATAACCTACTAATCTCTGAATGCTCCTGGCCCTGTGGATAATAAAATAAATAAACAAACAATGAAAGCCAGGCAGAGGCAGGCTCGTTGTAGTTTATTTGTAACAAGGCTCGACTTGCAGCAAGGCCAGGGCCTTGAACGAGCATACGAGCCTGTTCAAAGACCTCATTAAAATTTCTGCCCACGACCCATAGCATTCTTTTTTTACTTGGTTTGTAGCATGCTGACCCTGACTGGCAACCGGTACTGGTGTGGACAATGTCGGGTTGTGGGCTATGAAAGCCAGTGAATAGCGTTTACTAAAATGTTGCATTATAATCATATTATTTTCTTATGCAACATTTGACCTGAACCGTTTCTCATCCTGAGACCCATCTGAGATTTCAGAGGAGTCCCGACTTAATGTGCAATTTCAACTGTGTAATTTCACATGCACAACCTTGTAATGTAGCATACCCTTCCCTGTGTGAAGGAACTGTCCGGTATTAGCGTGACTGTGGTATTGAGCTATAGTAATTTTGTAGTTTCATGTCTTACATAAAAGGGACCTCGCAACCTTCTGGTAAATAATCACTGTAGATGGCAGGCATTTTTTACCTCGTGTAAACGGCACACTCAAGCAGTGTTAAAATGTGTACCTCGGGCGCTTTTGTAAATGCTTAAAACAAAAGCATATTTGACAGAAGTCAGTCAGGTCGGGTTGAAATTAGGATAAAAGCAAGTGAGTAGAAAAATAAAAGAAAGGGACCATTGAGGAAGCCCCTCCTCAACGGTCACAGTCCCCTCTGAAGAAGTTGGTTTCAAAACGTTGGGCCCCCTTGCATTTACATAGATACACATGCACGTCAATATGTACATATCGATGCATTTAAAACACCGATGCAACTGTACAATTGTCTAGAGATCGGTGGGTGATTACCTTCTTTAAACGCTGAACGATCTGTTGCCTCTGGGTATTGAAACGTTCTGGGCCCTCTCACATTTAGGGATTGGATGGTAGTTTCTTTCATCATACTTTTGCATATGCATAGTACGACCATTGTTGAGAAGCTGCGTGAAACCTAACTTTTCCCAGATTATCTCGAGTCGCTCCTAATTCGGTTTTAATGGAGATGTTATTGCCTTTCATGACACACTAGCGTGAAGATGTTGAGGATGGTGAAACTGAGACTTGCTGCTAGAGCCTGAGAATCTGCGACACAGGGGGCGGGTTGTGTCTTTCCGCAAGCACGGCACGTGGTGCGAGAAGGCGGGGTTGCCACCGACGTGAAAGGGGCGAAAGAAACGAGGAAAATGTAGGAAGGACACCAGGAGGAAATCATCCCACTTTTATGGAACAATAACACTTCCTCCATCTCTCTTCAGCTTCCCTCCCCTTTTTTCACTCGGAGGAGCCACTGCCGGACGACTTGCCGGCATTGGTGTCTGCTTGCTCAGTCTCGTTTGCGCTAGCAAAATAGAATCCTTTTTTTGTGTCTGTCTGTTAACACAGAATGTGTTATATGGCTGACACCTAACCATATCCGGTTAGGTGTCAGCAACGAAAGTCGAAAGGCCGACTGCCATTTGAACGCTTAATGCAGTGCTTATTTCTTCACTGATTGGACACCAGTGCCAGCCAAAACTACCCCTCGAGTGGCTTCGTGTAACTCCCGGCGAGGGTAAAACAATGTGTTCGGACATATAGCAGCGCTCTGCTTTGTGAAACGAGCGTGCTCCGGGATTCCCTAGAGAAAGAGCGCAAGCGAGAGCGTCAGAAAAGAACGCAGACACTCTCTTAGCTGCTAGTGTTTGGTTCTCTTTCGCTGCGAGCTTGCACCAGGGCTCTGCTTGGCGCTGCTATCTTCCAATTGTTCTGTTTTCCGCGCGCTCTGTCTGCTGCGTCTCACACTCCAACAGGCTCTGAGAAATTTGAATTTACACTGCAACCGCTGCCGATGGGTGGCTTCCACAAGTAGGACATTCACGGAGTGCTCACGCGTTTACCTTACACGATACAGGGTCACTTCGTGCCACCCAGTCTTCACATGTGTACACAGTTCTTCACTAACACATCGCATTCTGTGTCACCACTAGAAATTTGCATGGGCACAGGCCAGCCCGCAGGCCACGGGCTGGCCCGGCCAGCGGGCTGGGCTCGGGCTTCACGGCTACATTCACGAAGGGACTGGGCCAGGTACGGGCCTTGCATTCAAGTCTGCAAGGCGGGCCAAAGCAAACCAAGCCGGCCATCGCTTATTTTTTTTATGGCAGTAATGTTTTTTGGCAGTTTGTTTGGGGGGTTGGGAGAGTGACCTCAGTGGGGGAGACCCATATGCTGAAAACGTGTGTGTGCTTGTATGTGTGTTTGTACGGTTTTGTATGTGTGCAGCGAATGCTCTTCCAGAGCATAGCGGCGGCGTTCCTTTTCACCACCGGCGGTGCCGCCATCGTACCATCGCTTGGCCCCATCAACACGTGCACATACCCACCTACACAATGTGCGCCCTCGCTGACGTAAACCATATGTACATACGAGTGCATGCATCCAGAATATGGGAAGGAGTGCTTTTCCTAAACAATTTCTCGCAGACCACCGCAAAAACGGCAGTATAAATAATATTTTTTTTGTTGTATGAATTGTGAGTGGGCAATTTAGAACTTCGTTTGCCTTATAGGTCCCAACTCATCGCAACGTTTTTACTCTTTTTCAACTTTGACACACGGTTTTGTTTACTGCTGCTCTTGTCATTTTTTTCTTTATGCCTTTCCGCACGGGTTTGGTCGCAGAAAAGTATAATAAAACATGCTGCCGAGGCCCGCAGGTTGGTCCAACTAATAATAGCAGCAAAAAAATAAAAAAAGGTGCTTACAGCATTGACAATCGGTTACCGTAATGAACATATGTGTAGCAGTGACAAGCAAGCTGCCATGCGGTGCAATTTGTTGGCCATTCATACAGGGCTAAAATGGAGCAGGCCTCAGCGGGCCCTTGAAAATTAGCGCCATGTCAGGCTGGGCCTCGTTGGCTGTCGGAAATAGATTGAGGGCTGTGGGCGTGTTCGAGCCCAAGAGACAGCGGGCTGGGCTGGGACGGGCCTCTAGATATCGGCCTGTGCAAACCCTTAGCCACCTCTGCCTTTGTTACGCTAGCGCAGCAAAAGGGAGACTTTTTTTTTGTTAAGGTTTTGCTTGAGATGAGAAGAACAATGCCTTTGGTTTACCTTGGAGGTTTTGTGAGTTCTTATGGCTTTGTGCCATTGTAATGTAGGGTTTGATATGCTTTAATGTTATCGTATTGCCTAGAGACGTACCACTGCTACATCAGTGTGGATGGAAATTTATTCGAACAAACTTCACTATCGGTCGGGTTTGCTAAATAGCTGGTTTGTTCTAGGTGAGCTGATTGCAGCATTTGCTTTAAACTGTGGCCAAGAGATTTTGCAGTTGTGCCTTAGATTTTGGACAAAACCCCGAGACTGGGGGGAAAAAGGACAACACAACACAAGGTCTCGGGGTTTTGTCCAAAATGTTAAACCTTCACCAGCTTGTTTGCACCCTAACTTTTTGTGCCTTAGATGTTGCTATAAAAGTCATGGTTAAGGTGGTCGCTTCAAAACTAATAATCCTTACTGAGTGCATGAACATTCAGTGCCCTCAGTGTTAATCACTATGTGATGGATTTAGCAAGGACTTCTCTATAATATATAAAATGCTGCTTTGGAAAGCACGAGTTATTTCAGGACTTCATAGTTTATCGATAAAATTACCAAATCTAGATGGCACTGACGAAAAGATGAATAAACAGGTGAGCTGGTTGAAGTTACACGCACTGAAACCTGAGACTAGGAAAGATGAAGAGAAAAAAAAAAGGGGGGGTAACCGCAACAATATTTTTGAACACAGCCAACAAGACTTTCTTGACTCAATTTATTGAATAAGAGGTGATCTGGTGGTTATATATAAATTTTTATATCTGTTAATTTTAGTTAGCTGTGCTGAATTCACTCTGGTTGTCTCTATTTATGTATTGTCGTTAGTGTGGAGTTCTTTTACCCTAACCTTTATTGAGATTGGGGGTGGTGTCTAAAAAAAAAGTTAATTCGCTCTTGTTAAACTTTAATGTGGCCCTGGTACGAGAGAAGGGACCGGGAATGTAGCATGCAGCTTACCGTACATCTCGGGACGAAAAGCAATTTCGGCAGCAGAAACTTTTACTTATAGTCAGCACTCCATGTGTCAATAAACTGTTACGGTCTAGTGCCCCGCCACTTCTCTGCTTCTTTCTCTCGCATCATTGAAATGTTGTGGTAACACCTCTGGTTAGAGAGACACTAACAGCCCCCCAAATTTTTTTTTTTTTTTTTTTTAATTTTTTGCCAGGCATTTAATAAGTGTGTCAGAGGACTACCCAATCAATATTTTGCTACGTCGCATATATTTTTAATAAAGTAAAAACATGCAACTGCTCGAAACCGAAATCAAAACTGGTCTGGGGAGGAAGAAGAAATATAGAGGAGGAGAGCGTTGCCGGAAGTGACGTGGCTGTGCAACTTTCTTTTTTTTTTTTTTTTTTTCAATCAACGTATTTGTAGTTCTTTTTTTAGTAATAAAAATTGAGTATCATGTTTCTTTTTCTATTTTTGATATTGAGTGTGTGCCTTCGATGACCAGTGACTTTGATTATATTTGGTGGTTGTGTCTAAACCTTAGAAAACGGCATGTGACTATGGAAAAGAGAGTAAGCGTGACTCAAACCGGCCAGTTCTCGTTAGGCAATTTTCAGGCAGGAAGAAAATGAATGTCGAGCTGCAAATTGTGTTCTGGGTAGTTGGGCTCTCATGTATCATGTACAAATAAAAACATTGGCAAGCATAAATACCCTGTCAGTGTCCCTTTAAGGTTTGTTACCATTCCTCCGCGTTTTGTCATACGCAGTGACGGAATCTGAACTGAGGCGGCTGAGGGATGCCTTCAAGCGGGCCTCGAATCTGAGTGGCATCATCACCAGGCAGGCATTCATCAAGGAGGTGCTTGGAGAATTTGTGCCACTCAAGCTAGCTGAGGTACTCTTTCCACAACTCTGGAAACACCCCAATCTGTGCATGTCGTATTGTGACTGTTGTTCCATCATGTTTTGTCACGTTTACACCTGTGGGTGGGGGGGTGTGACGTGCCCACTTGACCAATGTACCTTGTTTTTTTGCATGTGGTTGAATTGTTTAGTGACTCCAGTTGTTTTTTTTTGGCTCGAAGGATTGTGTTAGTTGAGGCACCGACCTTCCATGTTTACTCTGTCTCAATCTTGTTTTAAATTTTATTAGCATTGGTCAGTCAATCTTTTGTTATTTTCTGCAAAAGCTATCATGCAGAAACAAAAACTGAAGTTATTCCATGCTTTGTTGTGGAGATTAAACTCACATCTAAGCATTACTTTAAGTTAGCAAACTGTTTAAAACATTTTTTGAATGAAAACTTGGAGGCTGCAGTTGCTTTCCAAGGTCAGTAAAGATGATACATTGTGATGGGTCTGACATCTTCAGCCGATGGCAGGCCCTTTTGTGACCTTTTGTGGGGAACTTGGTATGCAGCACATCTTCCAGGCATGTGGTGGCACAAGCAAGGGCATCAATTTCAAGGACCTCCTCTGCGGCCTGGTGCTGCTGACGCGAGGCACCCGGGAGGAGCGGATAAGATGTGAGCACACTGCCCTCTTCACTTTTTCTTCACAGCATTGCTGAGTCATTTTGTCTGGGCAGGTGCAAATAGCAGATTTTGAGTTCGAAGTGATTCGAAGCGGATAGTGGTTTTGTACAAGTATTTTCATATTGAAAATTGAGTAGTTTTTTCGAGCCTTTTAGTACTGTACCATGCTTAAACGAAAACCCAGCTGGACTTGCGAGGGTTGTTCCCAAGCTTCCACTTGTCCATTTCTAATTTAAGTTAAATTTAACTATATTTATGAACTGTGGCCTCTAAAAGTTCAATGCCTACATTGGGATGAGAAGTTAATGATTCATTTAACATAAAGTTAAACATACAGAGATGCCTAGCTATACCTAATTGAGTGGATTTATAAATGTTGCTATCTACAGTAGAAATATCCTTTCTTAAATCTCAAATTTGAGAAAATGAAAGAAAGGAATTATGAATGCAGGTTGCCAGGACATCCCTGCATAACATATACTCTTGCATAATAGCCACAGTTCACCTTTTCACCTTTGTGTAGATATCAACAATCACAAAGTTTTTATTTTTTTCTAACTACACTAGGCGTGCATGCTCCATCTTGCTTTGGAAGTGTGCCTTCCTTCCGAGCACGGGACTGGAATATTTGTACTTTTCAGTGTTGACCGCAGTGGTTTAGCCCCGTTTATCCCGCTTCTTACCATGCTCCGGTGCACTGCGGAGAAGCAACACTCGGGGAAGCAAGCTTCACGGGTGTTGCCGCCTCGGTGGCTCCGAGGCGAGAGCGTCGGCCTACGGGTCCCCATGTGGCGGGTTCGAATCTCGGCCGAGGTGCCCGCAATCTGGTGGAGGCTTATTGCGTAGAAGACGCCGTGTAACTGAGCTTTCGGCTGCACGTCAAAAGATTCCCAGGTGGTCGAAATTAATCCTCAGTCCTCCGCTGGGGCGTGCCAGATGCCCGTCGTTGGTTTGGTACATAAAACCCCCAAATTTTACTTTGACTTTGGCTTCACGGGTGTTGCTTCTCTGCAGTGCACCGGTGCTTGGTAAGAAGCACGCTCCACGGGGCTAACCCACTGCAATTAACACTTCGACAAATTTGAATATTCGCACAACACTAACTTTGTTACGTATTAATAGTCACTACAATTTAAGCTCCTCCTTAATAATGGTTCTATAGAATGAAGCTAAAAGGTAGATGCTTAGATCTAGCAAGGTCCTTCCCTCAAAAACGCAGTTCAGTAGTCACTTCATTTTTCGGGCTGTACCAGTGTATGTCAACCCTAAGCCGTTCCTAAGACAGGTCCTGGAAGTGTGAATGTTTCAGTTCGGTGGTTGAGGCACCATAAAGTGATGCTAAAAGATTGATGCTTAGAGGTAGCAAGGTTCTTCCCTCAAAAACATAGTTGAGTAGTCTCTTCATGTTCAAGGCTGTACCAGTGTATGTCAACCCTAAGCCGTTCCTAAGACAGGTTCTGGAAGTGTGAATGTTTCAGTTCAGTGGTTGAGGCACCATAAAGTGATGCTAAAAGATTGATGCTTAGAGGTAGCAAGGTTCTTCCCTCAAAAACATAGTTGAGTAGTCTCTTCATGTTCAAGCCTTTACCAGTGCATGTCAACCCTAAGCCGTTCCTAAGACAGGTTCTGGAAGTGTGAATGTTTCAGTTCGGTGGTTGAGGCACCATAAAGTGATGCTAAAAGATTGATGCTTAGAGGTAGCAAGGTTCTTCCCTCAAAAACATAGTTGAGTAGTCTCTTCATGTTCAAGGCTGTACCAGTGTATGCCAACCCTAAGCCGTTCCTAAGACAGGTCCTGGAAGTGTGAATGTTTCAGTTCGGTGGTTGAGGCACCATAAAGTGATGCTAAAAGATTGATGCTTAGAGGTAGCAAGGTTCTTCCCTCAGAAACATAGTTTAGTAGTCTCTTCATGTTCAAGGCTGTACCAGTGTTTGTCAGCCCTGAGCCACCGAGGCAGATCCTTGAAGTGGAGACATTTCTGTTTGCGGCTAAGGCAACTACTGCCACTTCCACACGAATCCTTCCTGATTTAGAAGGTTAAAAACATTGAGAGCTGTGATGATGTGAGCCTTTTTTTGTGTCATTCTGAATCATTTTGTCTTTGTCAAGCTTATCTGATGGCATTGGTTTGTTCTCCCTTCTTGTTCATCCTGGTTTGCCCTGGCATTGCTGGTGTGGCAGTCATTTTCAACCTGTACGCAAACGAAGGAGGCACACACATCTACAAGAACGACATGATCAAGCTTGTCCTTGCCTGCGACGGCGGTTACATTCCAGAAGCGGTGGCCGACTGCTTCATCGAGGTGAGCCCCCGTTCTTTCCTTTGAGCCCAGCGTCTGTCGTCTAGGATCATTTATCTCGCACGCTTTTTGAAAGAAGGGGCAAGGAAAGAAATGGGGGAGAGTCCTAAGGTGAGCAGTTGCTCCTGTAGTCCTTTTAGAGCGAAGCTGTTTATGGCTAGGGTTCCGTGGATTTTTCGTATGCAGTGACTAAAAGCTTTACGCTCGCACCGCTGCGCGCACATGCCTTCCCCATATAAAAGATTCAAAGTGAATAACCAAAATAAAGCATTGACAAACGCTCATGCAAGATGCCATTTGTTTTGGGCTTTTGCTTTAGAACAGGTACTGCTGCAGATGCTGGCACCGCACGTGCACACCTTACCTGTATAAAAGATTCAAAGTAAATAACCAAAATAAAGCGTTGACGAACGCTCATGCAAAATGCCATTTGTTTTAGGCTTTTGCTTTAGGACAGTTACTGCTGCAGACACCGGCACGTGCGGCGCATGGAACACCATTTCCTGCATTCTCCTTGATGTTAGGGTAATTTAGCAATAGGTCTATTCAGTAGATTAGTTATCAAAAGGCACCATTCTCAAGATCAGTAAACTCTCAGGTAGACAACAAAGGTTTCTCAAAGATTTTCTGCTGTGCAACCCGCGTCGTCCATGTCTATGCTCGCACCGCCCTCTCTTTGTCTTTGTTTCAAGCGCTTGTGTGCCTAGTTTCCTCTCCTTTTGCTGTCCCGGGGTGGCGGTCCCGTCGCGTGTGTCTTTTCGCTGGGTGGCGGTTCCGTCGCGCGTCTAGTTTCCTCCGGTCCCTCGTCTGTGTCGTGTGCTAACAGCTTCGGTGGTGATCCACCTACACAGATTGGAATGGCTGATGATTTTTTTAGGTGTTCTTTCTTTCTGAGAGATTTGAGGTCATAGGACATTCTACTACCCTGCTTTATGTTCAAGCAGGCATTTGGGTAACTGTCTCAGTCTTAAGGGGCATGCTGTGAATTGCTCGCATAAAGAAAGATGTCTTTTTTTTTATCAACTTGCTCTTTTTTCTCAGCTTAATAGAATGGTTTGTTATTGCAGCTTTGACTAATTTGGGTATACATATGCACTATCATGATCAATATTAGAGTGAATACCGCTCCAAGTGGCTTGCGGCACTATCAGTGCCACCTGTCAATTGCTGCGTAAAGTATAAAGGCGTTTTGCAGACGAGACATATCTTTAGGGATCGTTGCACCACTCTGCACTTTCGGATCGTCTGCTAGCAAAGAATGGTCAGTGGAACCATGAAATTGTTGACCAATTACCAAAAGCATTTTCCGCTAGCAGTGTGCTGTAGTAATAACTGCTTAAATAAATATTTGTGTAGGGTAACTTTTTTTATTTGCGAGTTTTAGTAATTTATTCTCATAATTCTGATAAAAATATCCGACGCTCCGCCGACGCCTTTGTACATGCATCATACAGTTATTGGAAGTATCGAAACAGGCTACTAAAACTGCCTATTATTTACTTTGCGTGTCTTTCGCAATAGCAGGAAACTGCAAATCTGCACATGCAAGGAGTTAGCATGGTGCAAGCGTAGGCAGTCTTTCGCTCCCTACTACCAAAAAAGTAACATAACAAAATAAATAAATGACAAACTTTCCCGCAGCGAGTGTGGCCATCGCTTCGAGTTATTATCATGCACGTCAGTTTACGCGCATACGACAAATTGTGGAGGCCACGATCAGTGCATGCAGACAGCCCAGATGTGAAGGGTGGTGCAAAGAGCGTAGGAGTCAACTTGTCTCAATTCCCCTTGCATCTAAGCTTTATGGAGCGTTCGGCAGAGGGCACTGAATGTACCGCAGGCCACAGGGAGCGGTGCTCACAGTTGTATTGATCTTGATAGACTTAGTTACCCAACTACAAATTCTCATATTGATCTTGATAGTACTTCCTTGTCAAGTGTAGTTGAATAATTTCCACCAATCATGACTGGACGTCCAGCCATTGCATTGGTAGGCTCTCGCTTATCCACTATTATCAACCAATATTTTTTACAGCAAAGCTGTTATGTGCTAGGATCTGGAAAAAAATGTCCATGGATGTTAACAAAAAAACTCCCGTTTAAACGGCGCTCCCTTGTTCTGTCTGGTCGTGGCAAGTACAAATAAAAAGAGGGGGCAACCTGCAACCTGCGTGCGTCAGCCTTCCTTGGCATTATTAGATAGTAAGGTCTTGATCCCTTGTTATCATCTACGGTCACCGACTTATCTCAGCCAAGAACTTTTTCTTTCGCTTCCGGGATGCTGATATAGAGACTTGGGCTCAGTCGGAAAAAAGACAAATAGTGAAGTCGTGTAGGTGTCTTCATTGCAATCATATGTAAATCGTATAGATGTCGTATACTTGTTGTAAAGATAACAGCTTCCTTGGTCCTCCATCGTCTTGTGAAGTAAATGGGATCTACAATTTTTTTTATTTTTTATTTTGTGTTATGTTAAAATGCTTCACTCTGTGCCAGCCAGTTCAGTCCTCTGCAGCAGTGAAGCAAAGGTCGATATGGGCTCTCTCACACCCCTACAAATTTGTTTCCTTGTGTGCCGTGCAAGGCACCAAGTATCAGGATCTGTGGTACAAGCCTAGCAAATGTTGGGGCCAATTGAATGGATGACAATTTTGCCTGTTATAATGAGATCAGCACAAAGGCTTTACCTTCGGTGATCGAGTGGAGATCATATTGCTGCATGAAAATAGCTGATTCAGCAGCGTGCTCAACTCCCACGCTTCTGGCTGGGGTTTAATCCCCACCAGCGTTCGTCCTTTTTAATCTTTTTTCTGTTTGCATGACTTGAATGTTCCAGATGACTTAAGAATTTTGTTGTCTGTTCGAGCTCGAAAACTTTTTATTTATTTATTTACGTGGTACCTACATCGCCACGAGGGTATTATTGTAGGGGGTACATAATACAGAAAATAAAACTATTTTTCCCTTATAACAAGCATAAGCTAGATATATCTACGTGCTTACAAAAGGAGGTTCGTATGGCTACTCGAGTCAGTCATCCCTCTGTCGCCGTCAAAGCACAATCTTTGTTACTTTGTTTTTCGGCGCAAGTTTGCCACATTAAACATTCATTTTAAGTTTTATTAATCAAGTTTGTTTTTATTCACGACAATATTTATGAACCTAAAGTGCATCTAAGCTCCATCATTCACAAGGCTTGGTTCTTTTCAGTTTACAAGCCCTGCTAAAATTGTTGCATCTGGGAATTTCTTAGACTACATTGTTCTCAATATGGCTAAATGGGTGTATTTATTGTCTCACTATACACATTTCCACCTCAAGAAAAAAGGAAGTTTTGCGCATTATTAATACGCCGCGCAAAGTAGTTTTTGCAGGATTTGGTTGTCGGAGGAAGAAGCGATGCTCTTGGCGTTTGAAGCGTGTACGTCTTGATAAGGTAACATAGATCTAATCTAAAATGCACCTACATATATCTTAATTATCCACATAAAGGTGGAAATTAGTAATGCTACGTGAGGAGTTGGACTTTTTTTTACTACAGTACTTGAGGTGAAAACGAGTATAGTTTATGAGCAGCCAAGGTTTTATGGATCATAATTCTCTTGCAGCATATTCAGTCAAAGAGGAGCAAACAGACTTAGCCCGAAATTGCCACGGTTTCTTGTAGCAGGTGTCTTAAAAACCCGTGTTATGTAAGCACCTAGTAACCAAGAGAAGTAGCGAAATCAAAGGGAAGAAAGAGATATCCTACAAGTTTAACATTTTGCAACTGATCAAGTCGTTGTGGAACTCTGAACTTTTTAAGTGCATCATTGTGAGGAACCATATCACTTGAGAACCATGTCTATAATGAATTATTTGTGGTGTAAAGTATAAAGTCGTATGTATTAAATGTGACAAAATGTCTTTGAAGTTCAAGTGTTGATGACAACATAAAAATATGGGGAAATCAGCTGACTTTTGTAACTTTTATTTACTTGAGTTGCACTGTCAAAAGTGTACTTTAGGGCATTTTAGCAGCAATATATAGTGCTTTTGCATATATATTGTGCCATTTTAGAACAAAAGATTGTGGTGGCTTAGCTCGGCTATACCAGGGTATACCCTGGTATAGCCGAGCTGATGCGCACAAAATAAGAAGCGCTATCAAGCGGCTCCGGTGCAGCGTCAGACTTGACTACTGTGCAACGAAGGCGGACAGCTGGGCACGCGGCGGCGCCAGTGCGTCTGCAGCGGCTATGACGTCACTTCTGTGGAATGTGCAGACCGGCGAGGCGCGCGCGGCGGTGGCTTTGGCACGGCAGCGGCATCTCCGGCGCGCCAGCTGTGCGCCGTGTGATGTCACTGCTCCTCGCGCTTGCGTAGCACGGAGCACGGTTCACTATGCGAGCCACGCTAAACTGCTCAACCTCGGCCAGTGTAGCTCACGCTACAAAATATCAATTCAGAGGACCTCTTCCATCTTCTTGCAACTTTGGTAAAGAGCTGACTATGTAAAACATGCAAAGCTGAACTTGCCAAGGTGACTTTTATTTTAAAGTCTCAACTATAACATATACACTGCCGATTTAGGGCTCCTGCGAGCTCGCTTTGAGGTCTCATTAGAAAATAAGGAATGAAACTAAAATTATCAAATGAGCTGCTGCAGACTAAATAAATTTCTGGAAAGTCATCTGAAGGCTGCATCGAAAGAATGTCATCAGCAGTCTTTTTTTAGGATGGACTTGGTAACATTTGATCTTACTAGATCAACTCAGTTGCTAAACTCCTGCAGAAAATCGACCTCCCCCTCCACCCGCCCAAAGCAGCCACCTGTCGTTTGAAGCGTCATCTAGACACTGTTCTTCAAAACCCGTTTGTACTATGAAATAAGCCGCCGTTATCGCAACAGCCGTCTTCCAAACCATGGCGCTTCGAACGACTGGAAACAAACCTTTGGGAGGGAGGGGGATATGCACGGGGAAGCAGTGTCTATGGACAGTTTTGCTACTGAGTTGATCTAGTAATGCTGGTAACATCTGAGGACATCACTTATTGTGCACATGCAACTTTGCCTGCTGCCCCAGAGCGAAAAGGTGACATTTGAGGAGTTCCACGAGTGGCTACTGCAACATCCCGAGGCCACGTCTCTCACCCGGTGGCTGCTTAGTGAACCCTCTTCGGTGACCTTGTCCAACGATCTCGAGACACCCACCTTCTACCAGACACTTGCCGGGGTCACACACCGTGAGTGCCACCTGAGCTTATTAGCGCAGTATGCGTCTTGGGGCTGGTTTCCAAGCTTAGAGCGTCATGAAATGTTTCTCTGTTCGACAGCTTGGTCCAACTTAGGGAACAGAGCTGCTTAGTTCTTTCCCTTTTTGTCTTGTGCAGTTCCCTTTTGAGACAGAAGCATTCTCAACCAATCACAGTTGGATACATGCCTTGCACATGGGGTGTAATACTAAAGTGGCAAAGCATTTAAGTATTTTGGCTATGTAGAATTCGCTGTCCCTTGATGTTTTCTTGTCTGTGGGTTGCTTCCAGTAATCTTAGTCCTGGGTAATGAGATTTTATCGACTTGTCATTCACAGAGAATTTGTTTCTTGCAAAACTGAGGTCAATCCTCTCGCTAAATGCAATGATTATTTTTAAACACTTTTAAGATATGATAATGGCTAGGGCTAGTGTCTGAAGCCCCTTCAAAGTCCACCTGCAGGCAGTGCAGGAAGCTTGACTTAGTAATAAATTTACAAATTGTAATGCAGAATGTGTTAAATGGCTGGCTCCTAGCCATTTCTTGCGAGGCACCCAGGTAACAGAAGAGTGTCGTACGAGTACTGCGTCAACATTCAGCTGGAACTCTTGTTCTCACTTATTGAACTTTAGTCCCAGCAAAATGCTAATGCGGCACACTCCTGTCCAATCTGTGACCGGCACTGACCGCCGGCAGACGACAAAAATCTAGCACTAGAACCTCGTTACCTAGGTGGTGCTGGGTGAGTGTGATCGCCTACTTAGTGGAAAAGTGCGTAGGAGGCAAGGGGAAAGAGAACAAGCATGTGCTTTGGAGGAAACATAGGGACGCGAAACAGTAGGGTCAAAGCCGGGGTCTGCAATTGCAAGAGATGCCAACTTCGCATTGAATTCCACTCCTGCTGGAGTGCTAGCTTTGCTTTTATTATGAGTTTCCCACCTAAACCAGCTGGGTGAGCGTACGTTGGGAGGACAAATGGGAGTCACCGCTTGCGCTTAGCAGCTTCCTTCTCCACGCAGTGGAAGAGACGGACATCATAGAGCTGGAGAAGCGGTACTGGCAGCTCAAGACTCAGTCGAGGACGGGCAAGTTTGACCTGGAGACACTGGGGCCACTCATTTCGCCACCCGTGCCTGCCGCCCTCTGCCAGGGTGAGCCACTCTTTTCGGCCACCGCATTGTGTCGATACAGCGCAACACCTTGACTCCTATCCTCACCCCAGTAACATATTGCCCCTCTTCCCTTTTTTTGTGTGGAGTAGATTTTTATGAAAAAATGCCAAATAAATTTTCCACCTTCCAAAAGTTGCGACGACATATTTCCATAATCCCGAAGCTCGTGTGGTCAGAAAGGAAGCTTATTAGCAAGTTTAAGAATAGGTCGGTTTTGTTCAAAACTGCTCGATTCTTTCCCGAGCTCTTCGATCCGGTTTTTTCTTTTTTTTTTGTTTTAATAATTGCTCGTGGAACTGACGGCGAATGCATCTGTGACGGGAGTGAAACGAAAAAGAGTCAGAAGCACAGCTTCTTGGCATTCCTTTTGTTTGAAATACTGGACAGTCTACTGCATGCCCAAAATTTACCAGATACTGTGGCAGGGACATTGGTAATACGGCTCATATTGCCTTCCAGGGATCTTCAATGCCTTCGACGAGAACAGGGACAGCCACATCGACTTCAAGGAGATGGCGTGCGGCGTGTCGGCCTGCTGTAGGGGACCCCTCACTGAGAGGCAGAAGTGTAGGTATCCTTCAACCATCGACTTGCATGTCCACGTTATCTGTTTCGTGAACTCTCTAAAACACGTAGCGGCGGGCCAGTTTGTTGATACGTTGCGCGGGTTCCCTTCCCGGCCAGTCTGTTTCAAGGTGTTCGACCAAGACATGGACGGCATGCTGTCCTACGAAGAAGTCAGAAACATGCTCTCGCTTCTGACGGTGCTCCAGCAGGAAGAGAGGGTCACAAACGATGAGGTAATCGTGCGAAATGTTTTTTTTTTTTCGTCGCAGTGCGTTTCTTGTTTATTTTGTTTTGTGTCTGGACTTTTGATGAATATTTGATGCATGTGAACTTTGTAATGCTTGCAGCTCTTTCAAGTTCAGCTACCTACAGTGAGACTGGATGTGAGCAGGCTAGTGGAAGACATTTTTGACAAGCACGACTCCAATAAGGTACGTTTTACAGTCGAGCTCGGTTATATCACACTCGGGTATTTCAAGTTATTGTTTATATCAAACAGTCCAAACATCCCCTTGAATATCAGATGTAATACTGGAGGAGCGTTGTTTTTTTTTTTTTTATCGAACTCCCATGGTGGGGACACTCGATATAGCTAACAAAGCACGGCCGCCCGTTGCTTTTCACGCGATCCGATTGTGCAGGTGGTGAGCACATCGCTTGCCTTGCATGGCCGGCAGACCGTCAAGCCAGCATACATGCTGAAAAATATGCAACTAAAAAACAGTTGTAAAAAAAAATTAGCTGCAAAAAAAAAAAAAAAGAAGGTTGAGGATGGCAAAAGCAAGGGGAAGGGCACCCGCACGCATATAGGAAGAGCGGGGAATGGTAGCCTGCGCCCTTTCACCGAACACTGCTGATGCTGAGTGACTCCCTACCTCAAAATAAAATAAGGAAAAAAAAAACAGAAAAGTCTTCGACAATTTGAGTGTGTCGACAATAACGGTTGTGCAATCACACTTTTAACAACTTATCTTTGTTTACCTCTTCCTTTTGCCGTTATTGCTTTGTTGTATTTTTTTTTTTTTTGCCTTTTTTTGTTGCTTGAATGTAGTGAGCTTTCTTTTTTGTTGCTTGCTTCACTTTTTTCTATGGATCAAGAGATCTTTTTTATGCATCTTGCTTTTCCGGTTTTCTTTAATTTTTTTTTATTATTTTCGTGCTTTGTCGTTAATGCCGTGTGGAGGTCCCAGCCAGGTGCGCGTGTAAGCGCGGCAGTGTTTGCGGTCTCTGCCAACTATGTTTACTGCATTTAGCGGCTCTTGGATGCTCTATTTGGTAAGCTCCCGTTTGTCGCCAGCTTCGGTATTAGCAGAGATGCCAGGAAATTTCAACTTGAGCTTAATTTAACATATTTTTGTATATCGAATTATTGATATACAGCTGAACCTCGATTTAAGGAAATCACCGGGACCCGCTAATTATTTTGTTAAATCGGGAACTTCGTAAAATCAAGAAAGACATTTTTCGCGCATAGGCTGCGCGGGAAATCAGACTTTTTTTGTTCAATCGGGAAATTCGTAAAATCCGGTTTCGTTAAATCGAGGTTCAACTGTATCAAACTATTTTACAATCCCCTTTGGATTCAATATATCCGGGTTCGACTGTAGTTGGCTCTACTTACGGTATGTGATGTAGCTATGTTGCTTGCATCCATTTACATGTGACTATGGACGGTGACAGGTCAAAAACCCAGGGCGAGGGAAAGGAAGGCTGGGGAGGAGGACGCAAATGAAATGCTGGAGAGGAGGAAACATCCATCTATCTCTGGCATTATGCATGTTTCCTCCTTCCCAGTTTTCCTTTTTCTCGCCTCGGGTTCTTGACCTGTCACAGCCTGCATATTTATTTACAAAATTGTTTTTGCGAGCAGAAGTAAATTCGGCTTAATTTTTATAATATTTACGGCCCTAAAGGAGGGCTTGAAACTTGGTGTATTTGGGGCCACAACAGGAATGTGAAAACACACAATTTATTGAGAGAGAATAAAAGCCGGTGATAACGAAAACACACATAGACATCGATATATTTGTGACATCTTTGTGTTTGCCTGATTTTTGTATCTAGTACTTTTTATGCTCTAAATTCACATTATTCTATGCACTTAATAATTGTCCGTTTGTAGTATGTTTGTTTGCTGCTTGTTACCAAACTGTGATGCACCTTCTAATTTCCCGCTAATGGGTGCTTTTATTTGTGGCTCAATATTTAGGAGCGCATTTAGCGGAAACCAACGGGCGACCGTAGCTCGTGCTTGTTGCTTTTGAGGAGGGTTTCATTGTTGTCATTGTTTTTTTGCCTCGCTTGCCAGGACGGGACCATTACACTAGACGAGTACCTTGTTTGGACGGTTGGGAACAGCCTCACCTTGAGTCTACTCAACCTCATGTTTCAGGTGGGTGACATTTGTCCTCGGTAACCCTACACAAATCGAACAGTTTGAGCTTGTTTGCTTGACCACGTGACCCTCAGTGAATTGCCCCTCCCCAATTGGGGCTTCTAGAGCTTTTGAACAGACAAATTTGGCCAATCAAAGCAGTTGTAACCAACGGACACATTTTTGGGCAGAACCCTTTATTTGAGAGGTGCTACATTGGTGGCCTCAATCCGACAACCCTATCTACTGGAGTGGCAATGATTACATACGGCAATACACAGACTGGCATGGCCACAACAGTTCCGTGGCATCGGTCGTGATATCAATTGGTAATTTGAGAATGTGTTGTCGTGTTACAAGCGCTCGACATAATGTATTGCCGTCGCGTGCGTGATACCGACGTAACAAAAATGTGGAGCTGTGCATCAGTGACTGACTTGGAAGCATCTTTTCTTCGGACAGGTGTGCCATGTTGTGTTCGGGCTGAGGCCCTCATCCAGGGAAGAAGAGGGTGAGATAATAAGGTAAGCAAGGCCCTTTGTGGGTATTTACTGTATAAACTGGAATATAGATCGAATCGGAATATAGGTCGACCCCCTAATTCACAAGTTGCAAAAAGCAAAAAAAAGTTTTTATGGCAAGAAAATGCAACAAGGACAAAAAAACACTGCACTTTTATTTAATCGCTTCGCACAGAATAAAACAGGAATTGCACCAGCGTTACTAAGATTCTTCAGAACCTTCGTCTGACGACGAGTTCACTAACGCAATCCAAAGGGACGATGACGTCCCTCTGGATTGCACCCTCGAGAGCCCGGAGGCACGAGCGACCTCGACGGCTTTCGTACAAATTCACTCTAACGTCACAGGTTGCAATCTGGCGTGCAGATTCCGAATGAAATTTGCCACCCTTGTTTCGATTTTGGGGCACACTGCTGTCCTTCCACGAAATGAAGTTTCCTTTGCCTTGCTGCACGCTGCCAGTTCTTATCTCTGGCCTCACCAGTAGCGTATGCTCTTCTCCGATACATCAAACTCTCGCTGTGCTGCAAGATTCCCGTGGATCTCTGCATAGGCGATTGCCTTCCTGAAGTCTACCGTGATCTATCTTCTACTTCCGCTCATTATCACTCCGGGAGCGGCAACGGTAGATGTAACAAAACAAGGAGCACAAGTGAAAGTGAGTCGTTACAAGTGGACGAGTGGATGAGTGCTAGGCGATTGCAAAGAAAAACAGGATGGCGGCTTCAGCCACCCAGTGTTGCGAGATTATTTTTGTTTTTCTGCCAATGTCCGTTATATGAGACGAGGGTCAACTTTTTCAGGTCCATTTTTAAAAATAAATTCGACCTATATTCCGATTTATACAGTAGATCTTCATAGACTCGGACACCCTTAAATCTCATGTCGATCAGATTTTGCTAATTCTTCTATAGTTAAACCTCTCCACCTTTGGTACTACAAATTGCTACCACAAGTTATGACTGAGTCTTTTCGTGATGAGTTGTTTGGAATGAGGAAGACCAGAGAATTCCGCCTAGAAATTGATTAGGTACAGGTAAATACATATAGGATCCATTTTTCATTGTAAAGCTGCAACAGCCAAACGTTTTGCCAACGGAAAATGGTTTATGCCTGTTGTGCAAGAGCTCTAAAAAAATGCAGTCGTCTTTGTCCATCTATCTACTTTGCCAACAATGGCGTACTGGGATTTTATCACACAGTTGGCAGAGGGAATCGTGTGATTGTCAGCAATGGTTATGTGGAGGTAAAGTAAGCTGGGTTGGTAGTTGTGAAAGTTACCAAGGGACATGGGACTTCTTTCTTTTTTAGGATAAGCGGAGAACTCCAGTTGTCTTTGTGCGAGTATGCCATGCATGTGCTAGTCCAGAGGTTATCAAACTTTTTTACCTCAAGGACCCCTTATCTGCCTCAAGTGGCAGCAAAGGAACCCTTTCCACTTTCGGCATTCATGCAAAAAGCAGTGCTAAAGCCTGCAGACTTTGTCAACAATAATGCACATGCTAGGAAGTGATTGGCTTATGGTTATGCATCAGTGGGTGGCTCAGGTTTGATAAATTGGTTCTAAAACTGGCAAGAAAGGTCGCCCCTTTACCGTGCTAACGTGGCAAAGGCAGTGGTAACACGGAATGTGACGTGTCAGTGTGGAAAAACTGTATACATATGTGGAGACTGGACGGCACGAAGTGGCCCTGTGTTGTGCAAGGTAAGCGTGTGAACGAGCATGCTCCGAGAACCCGGAGCATGCTTGTTTTCAGGAGCAGAGTGCCGCTGTATGTCTGAGCACCTGATATTTTTTTCCCGCCGGGAGCAACACAGTTGCTTAAGAAAGAAGTTTGGATGGCACCGGTGTCCAATCAGTGAGGAGACGAGCGCTGCGTCAGCGCTCGGCTGGCAGTCTGCCTGTTGACTTCCATTGCTGCCACCTAAGCAGATATGGTTAGGTGCCAGCCATATAACACATTCTTCGTTAGAAAATGCTTTGCTTTGGGGTGAGGACGGTCAAAGAAATCTGGGAGTTTGGGGAACCCATGAGAATACTTTGGGGAACGTTCCCAAGAATCTAATTTGAGAACCCATCGGCTAGTCACAGCTATCTGTCCTGCTGCTTTTAACGTGAAACATTCTTTAGCTGGGTGTTTGGCATTTCATGAAGCCCAGATAAAAGTGAAGCCCGGATAAAAGCTTGGCCGCGAGGCTCGACGCTGATTGGCTGACGGGTGAGAGAGGAAGAGTGAGGTGCTCGACGCTGATTGGCTAACGGGGAGGTCTTGTGATCGAAGGGGTAGGCGAGGAGGGGTGAGGTAGGCAAGGAGGAGCTTGACCGCCTGTGCACACTGAGAGAGAGGAGTTTGAGAGTATGGAAGGTTCTGGAAGATGGACAGGTTTATTGGTCCGATAAGTGGTAATATCGCTTCATTCTAAGAGCAACTATCAAGTGTACACATGGTATGTGTTGAACTATCTGATGAAGAGTGTTGTGAGCGTAGGCGTCTGGAAACTGAGAGTATCGTTAAATGTTTGTGATGCTAGAATGTTTCACATGTGCAACACAATTTCCTTGCAATTTGTTTTGACACTAGTCTATGAACTGCCCTGGGAAGTTCTTTGAACCTTCTGTTGTACCGTGCAGGACATGGCTGAGGAGGGAGGAGCGGCGGGGCCTTCAAGTGGGGCAGATGCTCTACCTCATCTCCATGGACTGGTGGAAGTCCTGGAACGACTATGTGGACCGGAGGGTAAGGCGGGCCTTTCGGTTGGCGTCCATCCCCAAGTCCAAAGATGAAACTCTTGCTCTGTCTCGATTGAGGAACTCTTTTAGACATTGGAACTTTCTGGGATCCATATCTCGCCCAGGATGTTTGACTAGCTTTTGTGCAATTTTGACGCTTAAGATTTATTTTGGAGAACTGAATAACTGTTTATACTCGTGTATAAGCCTTTCCTCATGTATAGCCCGCACCCCCCACATGCGCTCTCCGCCGCAGACGCCCGCTATGCTGCACACAAAGTAAGGAAGCGGGAAACGACATTCATGCTTTCGCATTCGCAACTCGTAAGAAGTGCTTAGGTGTACCTCGAGCCTTTTTATATGTATGTACCTATTTACTCGCAGAATGAACGCACTTTTTTTTTCCGAAAAATCGATGCAAAGTTGAGGGGGGCGTTTATTATGCGAAGTAAAATTTTTGCGTAGGTATGTATTTACTCGCATAATGAACAGACCTTTTATCCTGAAAAATCGAAGTAACTTCTTATCTCTTTGGGCGTGGCACCCGACCGGGTAACCAAACTAAGCTGTGCAAAAAAAAAAAAAAATCCTGTTTTTTTTTTCTTAGTTCTTTGGCTTTGTTTTTTTTCTGCCTTTCGCAAGCTGTTTTGTTTGCTTAGGCGAGGGCTCTCCGCTTATCTTTCTTATCTCCTTGCGCGACGCACGACCCCCCGTAACCAAACTGCGCTGTGCAAAAAAAAAAAAAAAAAAAAGCTAATCTTTTTCTTTTGTTTGTTTCTCAGTTCCGTGGGCTTTTTTTTTTTTTTTTGTTTCTTTTTGCCGCCTTTCGCAAGCTGTTTCGTTTGCTTAGAGGGATTCTCCGCTCCTCTTTCTTACCTCCTTGCGCGCGGCGTGCAACCCCCGGTAACCAAACTGCGCAGTGCAAAAAAAAAAAAAAAAGAAAGAAGAAAAAAAAGCTCCTGTTTTTGTTTTCTCTTAGTTCCGTGGTCTTTTTTTCTTTTTGCCGCCTTTCCCAAGCTGTTTCGTTCGCTTAGGGCGCTTTTCTTTGTTACCTCCTTGCGCGCGGCAGCGCGCGAACCCAAAGTCCAGACTGCGCTGTGCAAAAAAAAAAAAAAAAAAAAAAAAGCTCCTCCATGTTTTTTCTTGCTTCCGTTGGATCCTCGCGAATTTTTTTAACGCCTTTTGCAAGGCGTTTTTTTCCCCGTGCTGCCCATGCATTCGCGACCTCGCTGCGCCAAGATAGAAAAGTGCGTTCATTTCGCGCGCGTGGGAAGAGGGGGTCAAAATTTTGACGTCAGAGTGGGGGGTGCGTTTATTACGCGAGTGAAAAAAAAAGTCGAAATTTTGAGGGCCGACTTGGGGGGTGCGTTCATTACGCGAGTGCGTTCATTGTGCGAGTAAATACGGTATATACATACAGTGCCTAGAATTAAATTTCTTTTTTATACCCATCTAATGTGTACGCCTAGAATATATTTGAAGGTAGTCACCATGGGGAAGGTGCTGAACCTCCACACATTTGGCATGCTATGTGACAGAACAGTAAGAGTAAAAGAGGTAGGGAAGCCACAAACAGTTGAGGATTTGAAGTAAAAGGTAACAAGAAACAAACGGTGGACAGGCAAACTTGCCTTCCTCCATTCATGTTATTTGTTTCCTTCTAGCCTCTATTTTGACATCTTACAATCAAGTCTAGTTTACCATTGGACGCTACTACACGAATACGCCAAGGTATTGGGAAACCATTGGGTGCTACTGTGCAAATAGGCGAAGGCATCAGGAAACTGTTGGGCAGAACTTCTCTGAAGAGTGTTTTATAATGGAAAACAGAACGCACAAAAAACAGGGGCACAAGGAAGACAGGTACAGCGGACGAGCACTCATTCTCAACCGAAGGTTTATTCTCAAAAAACGTGCATTTGTTCCTCGTTATAAACCAGTACAAACTGGCCCAATTCTCAGCACTCCAACACTAAAGAGTGCTATGAATGGAACGTCCCTGAGCCGTTGATTTAGTTTGGGGCGTCTGCTCTTTCTGCCTGGCAGGTGCAGACGACGGCCTCGAGCGTGCCCACGGGGGTGAGCGGAGTGAAGGTGACGAGCCGGCTGCAGCGCAAGATCGAGTCCAGCGTGGCGCGCTCCGCCACAGACGACGGAAGCGTGGTGCTGGCCAGCGTGACGAGCCTGTCCTCGGACGGCCACACCCTGGACCTTGTGGTGCCCTTCGACGCCCAGTCGGCCGCCAACTGCCCCAGCGTGCCGGGCTCCCCCAAGTGCCCCAGGTCGTCCTCCACGAGCCTCCAGGTGGGCCTGGCTAGAGAGCCTAGATTTAAGAGAGGCTCAAACCATGAAGAGCTTTTGTGATTCGACGGTGGAAGCCTCCTGCACAAATTAAATGCGTGTGGGAATGCCTGCATTGCCCATAATTACTGACAAGGTGAGGATGGCAGGGAAGAGCTTCGGTTGTCCAGCCTCTAGAGTTAGATTCCCATCTTCGACAACGCTTCGACGTCTCGCGCACCTCGAGTGCACGCGCTTGCAACCAGAGCACGGTGAAAGGCATGGAGTGCGTGCTAGAGGCAGGGCATTCGAAAGACGTGCCCGGTCATTCTCCATCTGCCGGCGAATGTAGCGGTGCGGAGAATGGCGGGGGCGGAGAGGCTGAGCAAGGCGGAGACGCCTGCGGACGATGGACGCCTTGGACTCCTCGCAGCTCGTACCGCGAAGGTGCTCGTGAACCGCGTGACTCCAATCAAGCGGTACAAAACCCTGAAATCTAGGCACACTGGGCTAGGCATAGCTATTTTCTTTCGGCAGTAGGGCACGACTGACAAGCGAGTTTTTCTCCAATTGTCAAAATGTGGTTTTTCGGTTCTGTCCGAACATGGCTGAAGAGGTTGTCTTATGAAATGGAAACCACAAAGGGGACTGGAGTCGCCTCGGAGATCTCGTCAACCTGTTTGTTTGTTTTATATTTTTTTTTTTTTCACACCCACGAGCACCATCCACAGGCGGGCCTGTTTGGGCACCTGTGGAGTACTGTGAACGGGTTTATTTCCGTGAAGACTTGGTTTTCGCGACATTTGTGATTTGAGAAATATTGCGAAAAATCGATCGCACAAACTCCTCACCCTGTGGTTACGAATTTCATAGCACGCCGCTTTTAATCTCGATACATTCCCCAAACCCGCAGTACGCAAAAATTGTGAAATATTTACTCGTGATAATAGAGTACTTTAAGGTTGTTTGTACCCGAGTTGCAACATGCTTTGTGACTATGCTCCGTTTCACCTTACGTCCGAGCGCAGCGAATGTTACGAGCCATCAGAGGCCAATGTGACCTTGGAGAGAGGGCACAGCGACGCGCGGAAAGCGAATTGCGGACTACGTCCACAGAGCAGGATTGGCTGGGATAGCTCGTAGCACCCACTGCGTCCGGACGTAAGGTGAAACGGAGTATAGAGCTTTATGACTGCATGTTTATAAGGTAAAGGCTGTCTAATGGGAGATTTTTGAGTAGGTGCCAATTTGAATCTACACGCTTCAAGTCACTCTCAAGAACTCATATGCGTCCCTTTGCTCCACTTTTGGAGGAACCCAGAGGCAGAGGAGCAAAGGAATAGGATGCAGCAGTTAGCTGATGACATTGAAACAATCTCTTAGTGAAAACTGAAAAGAAACTGGAAATGTAACACTTGCCCTCTGTCTTGTTTTGCCTATGGGAGCAGTGCCCCGAGTCTTCGCGGCCGTCGTCCTTGAACCCGTCCCCGAGCGTGTCGCGCAAACTCCTGCCAGCATTTCCCCAGCGGCCGCCCTCCATAGACAACACTGGCCTCATCGTTCCCAATACCGTCAAGGTGAGAGGTCTTGCTTTTCGTCTTTACTTTACATCATTTTTGGGTGCTTGTTCAAGGGACAGTGCAACGATTTTCATGTTCAAAGAGTTAGCAGCTTGTATATTGTATATTGTTTATCTTGGCACAAATCAGACAAAAACGAGCCGTTTTCTCCCGGAATACTGGAATTCCGCCACATATTGTAATATATCTTAAGAGATAGCCCACTCAAAATCGAAAGCAAATCGGGAGAAAATAAGGAGCAAGCTAACTTTTGGTGTGTAATAGGAAAAGTTGAAAAAAACAGTTTTTTTAGATTTTTTGATTGGCAAAGGCTTGTGATCGCAGGGAGGGGCAAATGAATTAAAGACGACTGTCCCTCGCAGTGAGCAATGTTGGCTTATCTCCCTCCATGGCTAAGTAACACCATTTCTGTCGAGGTCACCATTGGCCAGGGCCTTGCAATGACTAGAAGTGGGCTATCTTTTGGTGCTTTTGACAAAAAATGAAGCATGCCAGAAATAGGGGTGGTTATCTTTGTGGGGCAGGGCATCTCACGAAATATGGAAATCATGAAGGTAAAAACTCGTTATTTTCCGATCTGCAGTCGCGGTCGTGGGAATCACGGAGTCGTGTCATGGGGAGTACACAAGTTCTCGTGGTACCATGTAATGGAAGTCAACCAAAGCATTCTGTCTCCGCTGCTGCCCTCCTCATCCAAACTGTCTTTTCTCTATAGCTCGCCGCGACCTTTGACGATGCTAAGCACTCTTGAAAAGTCTACAATCGCAGAGGAACTGCTGGGGCCCTAAGAACAGAACTCTATGAAAAATCATGTTGTACCCCCTAACTTCACTCGAAAGACTGTTTGAGAGCTGAGAGATAGCCCAAACTTCAATTTATTTAATTTTTTTTTAGATATAAACTAGAACATGAAGAAAAAAATTATTTTCTGTTTTTAATTTTATAGGTTGCAAAAACTCATTCCTACAATTGGCCAAAACCCTAAGATTGTTGCACCGCCCCTAAACGTTCTCTGTCGCCACGTTCCACGCACCGAAGCACGAGTCCCAACGATGGAGTCTTTCTGGCGCTTGTTGCAGGCGATGGTGCTGACGGGGGAGGGCGGCCGCCTCCAGCGTCAGGTGCCCCTGTGCCAGGGGCGGGACTTTGAGGCTGTGCCGGAGGCGGTGTGGCGCGCCCTGTTCCAGTGGTACGGGGGCTCTCCCGCGCTGCCCCGGCAGGTGGTGCGCCCCACGCCCGGCGCCAGCCCCGAACTGGAGCTTTACCCGATCACCTTGCGCCTGTACCGGCACCAGGCGCCGCCGGGGCCCCCCCGGCACCCCAACAGCAGCTGGACGGCCGTGGTGGGCAGCGTGGCGTCGGCCTACGGTGAGACCCTCGTCTGCCTGCCGGGGATCGGTGTGCGATAGCAGTCGTGTAAAGTGTTTTCCCGTTTTGAGTGCTATTTTAGCAGTTCTAAGGAACCCACTGATGGCATACCATATTTTTCAATGTACCATATTTACTCGATTCTAAGCACCCCACCCCCCTTTTTTTTTCTTTTTTTCAAATTTGCAATGCTTTACGTTTGGGGGTGGGGGAGGGTGCGGAGATTCGAAGGACACTAAATGTTAAAAAATTTCAGCAAAGAAATATTACTTTATTTTAAGTAAAATGAAAGGTAAAATAGAACACAGAAGATACAACAAATACGGGAGATTGTCACCCTACTTGCCGGCACAGCTCACAGCACACCATGCAGGACGCCTCGGTGCATCCATCCGCGCTGCTGCTGCTTCGGACGCTCTCCGTGTTCCACAAGAGGTCGTCCTCAGATCCATTATAACTGTTCATTATACAACGCTTCTTGAAAACCTTGACCACGACGCATTCTTAAAAATCGGCTCCCGCTGCTTTCTCCAACGAATCACGCAGGACCTGTCCATGCCGAAATTCTCTGCAGTGCTGTGATTTCTGTTCTTCGCAAACGAGATCACTGTTCTCTTGAACTTGAACATATAGGGAAGTTCTCTTCACACTCATGCTGACGTGAGACTGATCGAAGACTGATCAAAAGCCGCCGAAATGAAACAAGGATGTCTCCCCTACACCGACGCAGCCGACGACCCTCGAAAAGAAAAGGAGAAAGAACAAGCAAACTCACCTGCTTGCGCGGCTTGCCTTCTCGCCGCGAGCGCGCGATTCGTGTGTTGTCATCTATCCAGTTACATCGGAAATTATTTTCAGCGATCAACGTTGCTAACAGCTTGGCGATCGTGGTCTCTCCTTCTACAAAGCGACAGCGGCGCGCCGCGCTCGGATTTTGAATTGTGCTCGAAAAAGGGGTGCTTACATTCGCGTGCAAACTTTTTTTTTACCATTTTGACTAAATAAGGGGGGTAGGGTGCTTAGAATCGCATAAATATGGTATATGAGTAACTTTTTTTTCCCTCTATAGTTTCTGTTGCGTCTTCTGTACAACACTTTGCAATTTTTCCCATGAGTATGTATCTTAACTGCAGTGGTTTGCTGCAAAGGTTTTATTTCTCGTTTAATTTGTTGACGAGAATATTGAAACTTGCGCGCGCTTATGTATATATTGCAATCATAATTGACGTACGAGCGCTTTTCAATGCAGTTTCGTTGCATCGATCGTGCAAGTGTAATGGTGCGACTTATACACGGGTGCAACTTATATACAGTCGCCGACCAATATTTTGGACTTGGAGGGGACCCCGAAGTTGTGCAAATAACCGACCGATCCGAAAAATCGATTTCAGCCAAAATATCAAATTTTTGTGCATATTCCGCTGCATATTGGCCACTTTCCACTTGCTTGACGTCAATTTTAGGTTCTCGTGCAACTTCCACTTTATATTGTTCACTTTTTTACTTGTTTGTTGATCTGTTTGATCACAGTGCTGCACTTTGTCGGCGGCTTCGTTGCCACATACAGCAAAGTTGAAGTTGGCACCATTTGGCACTATTTGTCGACAAAGTTTAGTGCACCAAGCTCGCTTCAATACTAAGCCTATTGGCAAAAAGGCTCGAGGTTCACCTAAGCACTTCTTATGAGTTGTGAATGCGAAAGCATGAATGTCATTTTTTTGCCGCGGCCGCTTCTGATTCTTTCGGCACCGAGGCTGCTTCTGATCCTCTCGGCGCCGCGGCTGCTTCTGATCCTTTTGGTGCTCTCGGCACCTTGGCCATTTCTGCTCCGGCGCGGGCACGCAGCGCCATGGGGTGGCACCACTGATGCACAGTGGCTTCATATCACTGCCGTTTTGTGTGGCTTTATATGCGTGGTTTCGAAGCTGGGATGCCGCAGATTGCAGCGTTGGAAATTTATCTGCCGTTTGTCGCTCCTGATGAGGTCGGCTCGCTCCATGGAACAGTTAATGCTTTCACGTTAAAAACCTTCGCGCTTAAAGACCACAAGAACAGCAGATGGCCGCTCTTCTCGCTGTCGCACTCGAAAAATACGGACCACAAGAACGACTGGAAGAGCCATAAGAATGGGCAGACGGCGGCCATGTTGGCTGTAGCAGAACCGTAAAACCCGAATATAGCCTCAACCCAGCTTGTTTATTGCGTAGGACGTGGTATGGAGGCTACAGGGCAAAATCAAAACAACCAAAATGGCGATGACCAAGCTCGTGGCGCTACCAGGGCAGCTGTTTAGTGGCTGTAAACTGAGGAAATTGCATAAATTTTGTCCGAAATATTGAGCAATCAGCTTTATGGCATCCGAAATTTCGATCAATGTTATACATTAACTCTATGGGGTCATTGACGGTTTGGCGAAATGTGAGGTGTCTGAATCATCAAACGTGCCTGAAAAATTGGCGTCCCAAAAATTGGTCGGCGACTGTGCCAACCTTTTTCTGAGAACAGCTGTCCATAGGAAGGTGCGACTAAAGGCTGGTTCGCACACTTGCATTTGACTACAAACAACTACGCCACAGCCGGTCTTCAAGGGGAAACGCAAAAATTGAGAACCAAAAAAAATTGTGAAAAAAATGTGTTTTGGTAAACCACTTTTTTGGATTGTATATTCCATACTCTACCTCCTGCGTAATTATCAGCACGTAATTTACTGTTAAAAAAAAAATATTTTTTCTAAATAAAAGATGCAGAATCGAGTCGAACTTGGAGCGTTTCTTGTTCTTTCAACTTGCCAGACGGCCGCCATCTTGGTCTTGTTTTGAAGCAGACTTTTTTTTCTTTTTGCCGTCCTTCAAAATAGTGCCCTCAGCATAGTTTTGGCATGGTTAGTGTCTTCCCACCTCGCGATTGCGAAGCGGTGATTGGCCAAAGCGCCCGCTCAAGGGAGCGCGTGACTACTATTGGGCGACATTTGTCCTCCTTCGGTTGCCATGGCTACGCCGGCCTTGCATCGTCTGCTTGTTCCTGCGCTTTCCCAACTCCGCTTCGCTTTTCGCCATCTTTACGATTGTTTGCAGCCCATTGTTTTAATAGTTTCGCATACTCTGCCAGCGTGTTTCATGGCCTCAAGAGAAGCAGGGAATGAATCAGGAGACGGTGCACGCATTCAGTGCACGGAAGCGGTTCATGCAAGCTTCTTTGCATGGTGACCAGCGGAAGCAGCATCGGCAACCCCCCCCTGTGCGGTGGGATACCGACGCTTATCGCATTGCTACTTCAGATTGAGATTTTTCTATCTATGCCATCAGCCGTCGAAACTAATTTAAGACAACCGAGGAACAAAAAAGATTGAGGTACACCTAAGCATTCCTTATGAGTTGTGAATGCGAAAGTATGCAAGCCGCTCGTCCTCTCCCTTTTTCGTCTGCTGCATACTTGTCGTCGCCGGTCAGCGCGTGTGCTCCCCTGGGCACGCTGACCTTGGACGCTCCGTGCCTAGGGGAGCAACGGCGCGCTGATGGACACGCAGCGCCATGGGGTGAGCGGTCGTGGAAACTGACGAGCGCAGCGTCCAATGGGAGCCCCGTCGACGCGCGCCAGCCAATGGAATTGAAGGATTGGGGAAACTGTGTGCCGTTTTCGCGCTTCAAACTGATGGCGTCAGCTCGCTTCATGAGACAGTTAATACTTTCGCATTAAAAGAAAGCATGCAAGGATGCTTCCAGCTACTCCGCAGGTAAAGCCACTTCACGTGGCGCAATCCTTGTTATTTTCGTGATTTTCGGTTGCAACATTACTTGCTCGAGAGAAAACAAATGAATAAAAGCCATGGATGGTGACTTATGTGCATGCATACTGTGTCCACAAGCTCTTTGCTGCACAAGAATGAGAATCGCAAGCAGAATCGCCCCGTCATGAAACTGGCTCGATGCTGAAAATGTGTGTGCAACTTTCAACTGCCATTTTCTCAAAATGGATTTTTCCGCTGGCATTGGCACTTACCCCAGCGATATCTTGGGAACTGTTAAACGAATTTTCGTGCAGTTTTTTTTATTCTGTTCCTAAATAACTTTCTGAGGGCATGGAAAGCTTCCTCTCTTAGAAAATTGTGTTGAGAATTTAAAATACTCAAATTTAATTGGATGGATGAGGGTATGACCAACACTATGAACTTCAGTGTTGTGCAAAAATATTTCTGTGAAGAAATTAATAAAAAGAGTTCTGTCATGCCCTGGGGTGCCTATCCAGGAACGTTTGTAATAAATGTCTCATTCCCACTATGTTTTGCTATTTCTCCGGGCCTGAAATAAAGGAAGCTAGTGAACCATATTGAAAATTTGTTGTAAATTAAGAACTGATGGGCAAAGCTTTGTGAAACCGAGCAGTTGCTCTTATATATGTGCTATGAATGTAGACATTTGACTAAAAACCTTGCGACTGGGATGAGAGGGGACAGACAAACACAGTCTCAAACACAGCTGATATTTATTTCACAACGAAAGGGCTTATATAGGCATCAGATCTTACACGAAACACTACAGATGAGAGACAGAAATGTGGGGAATCCCGTGCCACAAGCAGCACAACAAAGCAATCTTTACAATAGAACTGAGAAACAGTTACCTCCTTTATACAACAAGAAACAAAAGACAGTTTTTTGTTTTTTTTAACATTATAACAAATTTGAGTTGTGTTTGAGACTTTGTGTCTGTTTGTCTCTTCTCGTCCCAGTCTCGGGGGTTTTTAGTCTAAACGTTTTACTACCACCAGCTCGTTTGTGTCCTAACCTTTTGTTCACTATGAATGTACCTTGAAAATTTCATACAGATTGCTCTAAAAATAAAAAATAAAAAGTTTAGGTTCCATGCCAACCTCTCCCTTAAGCCTCCCCGGTCGTCAGCAGTTGCAACTGTGTGAACTAACCTTTATGCGAAAGTGCAACTTGTAGACCAAAAAATATGGTGACTATGAGCCATACAGGTCCTACTGTATGCATTATTTACGTGGTTGGTAGGCTTCTGCACTAGTTTGCTTAATTGCTTTGATGCAGAGTCTGGGAGGGCTTGCTCGGCTGTCAGACAAGAGAGATGGGGGTTCCTTGAGATTGCAAAGTTTGGGAATCCCTGAAGCAGTGTTCTCTCTTCCTGTTATGGCTACAGGAGGTTAAGGATGAACCCTATCTCTTTCTTGCTTGCACAAATGTATATGGAACTTGCATGATTGAGTTGCTTATTCATACCACTACAGCAAATAAACTCTTTGCAAAAGTTACAACTAGTTAATTTGGGCGCATTGTTATAATGAACACTTAAAGGGGCCCTGGAATCATATTTGACCGTCTACCTTTTTTGTGGTTTCCACGTCTCTTGGGGTTCGGGCAAGCCAGTGGGCACGGAGAGAGTAACTAAATATCAGTGAGTCATATTTTAACTGGACGACACGGAAGCCTCCTCCACCTACGAGGGCGACCCGCTTTGCCGAAAGCGCGCAATATGCGACGTCTTTTGTCCTGGGCTTACTACTGGTCAGAGCTGCTAAAAGTTTTTTTTTTTTAGTCGAGATACAAAATATAAGTTTTGTGAACCGTTCCAATTATGTATGAAAGTTTTTGTTCAGTATTTTAGATCAGAAAAGAAACAAATGCAGTTTATAAAGTGCGGAAACAAGAAAAGACCCATCGACAAACCTGCCACCAAGCAGCAGAAAAAACTGTGCATACTAGAAAGGACTAGTGGGATGAGGCTCCAACGAACGGCAAACGTAGAAATGTCCCGGAGGTACGCGGCGGCGCTAAGGTCGTATACCGGCTCGAGGATCCGACCGGTTCTGAGCGTTCCGAAGGCTTTGGCGCGGGCTTGGCTGGCGATTTGGCCATTTGGCGGTATGGCAGCGCGAAGTGGCTCCCGTTCTGAACTGATCTTTACCCCGTGTTTGCTGTCGTTGATGGCCAATGAAGTGTTATGCCAAATTAGTCTTTAACCGCGCAGCAAATGCAATGTGAGCCGCCTTGGCCGCCCGCTTCATACAGCATATTCAACACGTGCTTTAGTGGCGTCCTCTTGAGCCGTCGACATGGAGTGCGGCAGCCGTGAGCGCTCAATGAGCTCACTACTCCTCCTCTAGTTCTAGTTCAAGCCAGGACGTACGACGTCATGGAGGAGGTTATTTTTAGCTTGTTTTTGTAATCCTAATTTGCCTATAACTTTTAAAATAAAGCGAAATTTGAGAAAAGAAAAGTTTCTTTAAGTTACTACGTTCAGTGCGCTCAGGTTCGGTGCAAATTAAAAACCAGTCAAGAAGTTGTTGCAGGGCCCCTTTAAAAACGAAAGAATTAGGGCAGTTTGATACTTTAGACCCATGTTACAGATAAAAAAAATGGCGCAGGATGGCCAAAAAAACATGCTTTTCGTGTAAGGCTCATGAAATTATAAGTCGCTGGACAAAACCAGCCTTCTGCATTAAATCCTTAATTTAAACTCCCTTTGTTTGTGTTCCATCCATTAAAAAGCATGGCAGTGTTTTTCCGCAGCATAAAGGCTGTCTGTTTTCATCAGCGTCATCATGGCAATGAACGCGGAACGACCTTTCACACGGCGCGTGTATCACCGGGGAGCATGTTAATCTCCCTTCCCCCCCCCCCCCCCCCCCCCTGCGTTCACGCCGCCTCGCAGCGACAGTCTGCGGCTGCTCATTACAAAACTATTAAACTTTGTCTAGCAGACGGCATTGGGAAAATGGCGTTGGCTGTTGCTGGCTTCACGCAGCGGCAGTACCGTGCGTGCTTCCATTCGTTCGGCGTCCGTTGCCATGGTGACGGCGATGAAAGCAGACGGCCTTTATGCTGCAGAAGAACGCTGCGGCACAGTGATATGAGGTGCATGCTGAGGCCCTTCCTGCTTGCTTTTCAACAAGCGGAACGCGAGCAAAAAGAGTTTGAACTGGGGACTAAACGCAGAAGGCTGGTTTTCTCTAGTGCCTCATTATTTGACGAGCCTTAGACGAAAAGCATGTTTTTAGACCGGAGTTTGGAAAAAGGTTTTTATTTACAAAAACATGGGTCTAAAGTATAAATGTGCCAGAATAAAAGCATAAAAGAGATTCGCGGACGACCACACTCTTTGTGGTTGTGGTCGTCCATGTAAGCCTTTTATGTTTTTTTTTTCTTTTGTTATTAAGTATACAAAAATAAGTTTTGACACGCATTATTTATTTGGAGTTTACTATGCTTTTTTGCACTCATAGAATTGAGCCCTTGAAGTGCTAGGGGATGGTGGCCATTGTATTGCCCTCTTGAGGTTTCTTCGGGTGGCTCTTTCTGATTTCTACCTCACGGTTTTTGCCGCACTTACCTCTTTTTCGCATTTAATGAAGAGGCATCTCGATGCTGTTTGCGGTGCCACAAAACTAAGGAATCAGTGATTGTGCATTGGTGTACGACAGTGGGCAGTGTGGCGACGGGCCAGCCGAGCCTGACCCCCAAGCGCTACCTGGCGTACCTGGCGTCGTTCAGCCGGGCGGCCACCCTGCGCCAGGTGTTCGACTTCCTCTGCACCAGGCTTCGCCTGCGGCCGGAGGACAGCCGCCTCTGGCAGCTCAACGACGAGGTACGGCCATCCCCCGCTCTCGATGTAACCAACCCGGCTGGCCGTGCTACTTTGGAACACCTTTTAAGGCGATAGAGCTTTGGCTACCTGAGCCTAGCCGTTGGTCCGGCGTCACCTCAAACTAAGTGCATACGTGCATACGAGGAAGGGAGTGTCAGCGGTGTGCTAACCACCCCCCACCACTGCGTAGAAATGCTGGCTGCGTGAGCGGTTAGAAACTTCGTGTTAGCGCTATCGCACCTTCGTTGCACTTTACGGAATGTCTAATCCAGCTTATTTCCTGTGGTTGGGGATTAATTAATTCATGAACCAACGTTAATCTTTTTTTTTTTTTTTTTTTTTTTTTTATCAGAACAACTTGACCTTGCTCGAAGAGGAGGGCCTCACTTTAGAACAACTCGGCATAGAAGACGGTGAACAAATTCTCATTGAAGGTGAGTTCGGCTTGCTTTTGCATTAACCTAGCACCGCGCAAAGCTGCCGTGAGTGTGCGCTGTAGGGGGAATGTTGTAATGCAGGTCAAAAGCCAATGGTGACAAGTAGAGAGATGTTGTACGAACTTTAAAGAGGCCTCGGAAGTATTTGCGTCAATATTCTACCTTTTAGAGAGTGATGGCCTAACTGTTACGTTTCGCACAGATGGGGTCGGTCAGGGTTCGGCACAGTGATGCTGTAGTTTCTGATTTTTGCCTGTTTGCTTTTTTTAAATTTTACAGTAAGGAACAAAGACCAGACGTGGCCCGAGGAGATGTCCTGCATAATTAATTCCAAGATCGACCAAAAAAACCAAGGTTAGCGGCTTTTCATTGTGAGCACGCAACATGACATTGACTTGTAACTGTCGTTCTGGGTTAGTAATTTTAGTTTCAAGAGATATTTTTGCAGGATTATTTTTTAAGCACACCTACAAGTGTTTAGTATTTTATGTTTTAGGTTTTTCAGTTGCCACACAGTGATGTATAGATTGTTTTCTCACCAACAGTATATTTCTGTCCTGCCCCTGAAATGAGTACAGTTTTGAAAGTTTTGATTTTTTTCAAATACAGCACTGAGCCCTTCTACACTAGCTGACACTACACTAGCTGACAGCTGTACAAGTGTTTTTCAGTACCAAATGTCCTGAAGTGTCAAGACAATGGTACTAACAGGTTTGCAATGGGCAAATAGCCTAGAAAATGTGCCTTGTCATTTTATATTGGCAATGCTGTCTAGGTGGGTTTTGCACAAGCAGATTGTTACAGTTTGTGACCTCCGCAAAATTTCAGGCCCCACGGAGAAAGGGGCCACTGGGCTGAACAACCTGGGCAACACGTGTTTCATGAATGCCGCGCTGCAATGCGTCAGCAATACGCGGCCCCTCACTCAATACTTCATCGGCGAGAAGCACCTTTATGAACTGAACAGGTGAGCTGGTCACGGCAATTTGCAAAAGCGGCCATGTCTTTCTTTTTAGGTGCATGGCATTTATGGGGCCAGCTCTGAGTGCTTCGTGTTCACTCTTGGGACGTAGACTTGATGACGCGATAAGGTCGCATGACGACCACCATCAGTGTGACAGTCGTCATGTGACACCATGACTTGACATTGTGACGTCAAGCGACGCCATTGCATTGGAGTTACCTAAACATGCTATGCATTTAGGACACCTTTGGGATATATCAGAGATAGACAGTTTTTTTCCCTACCATTTCACAGTCATTTGGTGCACTTCAGGATGGGCATTTTGCTAATGCACAGTACTTACATTTTCCGTTCTTTGTTGCCAGGTTGAATCCTTTGGGCATGAAAGGCCACATTGCCAAGCGGTACGGAGACTTGGTGCACGATCTCTGGAGCGGTACTTCGAAGACCGTGGCACCACTCAAACTCAGGGTTTGTTGGGGGGGTCCAATCCTCGCGGTGGGAGCGGGCGAAGAGTATCACGGCAACTACCGCTCACAATGTGCTGCTTGAACTTTCAGTGGACGATCGGCAAGTACGCCCCGCGGTTCAACGGCTTCCAGCAGCACGACTCTCAGGAGCTGTTGGCATTCCTTTTGGATGGCCTACACGAAGATCTCAATAGGTGAGGGACTCCCTCAAGGGGGCATGACAGTGGCCCAAGTTTTTATATTATCATGTGAGCGTCGACCGCCGGGCTGGCCAGTGCCGTGCCGCGGAGAGATGCGGCAATAGGGGAGAGATTAGGCGCATGCGCACAAAGATCTTTTCGGTGGGAGCGTCGTCTGCTAGGCTCTTCCGTTTACCGCACACAATCCCTAATCCTTATCTGCTGGCAGAGCTAATTGCCTTTAAGCAAAGATCTGAACAGGAATTGCTTATCACTCGCTTTTTTTCCGGGCATGCAAAATAGCAACCGGTCGTAAATTCAAACATGAAAATACACAACCAGACCGGAGAGTAAAACTAGCGTCATTGCGCCACTATTCTTGCCGCGCAAGACGAGTATCACACCAGCGCTCGCTCTTCAGACTTTTTGCTCTACCAACAGATAAGAGAAGCAGAGAGAGAGTGAGAGAGGGAAGTGGGGGCATTGGATAAACGAATATGGGAAGCAGCACCCTGTGCTCCTTTGCTACGGAGCAGGGGCTGTGTGCGGTCAACGGAACAGCCTAGCAGACGATGCTCGCACCGGAAAGAGCTTTGTGCGCACGTGCCTAATCCCTCCCGTATCACCGCACCTCTCCGCGGCACGGCGCTGGCCGTCCCGGCAGTTGATGCTCACGTGATATTATTAAAAACTTGGGCCACTGTACAGAGTGACCCTGGAAAAAAAATTTTTAGTGGTTTTTTTTATTTTGCTAAAAACAGATTACACATCGCCAAACACTCAGTCTTTTCCCAAACGTAGTGCTAGTGGTTCGAACCAGATGCCAAAGTTTCGGAGCTTGTTGTTAATAAGAAGTTTTTGGAAACTTTTAACGGTAAAATGGCGACAGACAAAGCCCCCCCGAGTACGGACGAATGGCGTCGGCTGCAGGGAACGTGTCCCATTTTTTCATTGAAAGTTTCAGAAACTCGCTTATAACTTTGGAATAAGATAGCAGTTTGGAAACTTTGGCCTCTGGTCCAAACAAGCAACACAACATTTGGGCAAAGCCCTAGAGTTTGGCAATGCATTGTTTATTTTTGTAACAAAAAAAAAAAAGAAATATATATATATATATTTTTTTTTTTTAAAGCTTGTACATGTCTGTTTTCGTTCTCCTGGTCGTTTTGTGCTTTCTTACCGTTACAAATATTTTAAGTTTTACAGGGAAAGTTGTAGGGACTTCCCAGCTGCACTCGTACGTGCAGTACCCCGCGACACCAGATAAAGCGCACACACTTGGTTCTTGCTAGGCGGCAGTGCCTTCTACAAATGGCGGGGGACACCGCTAAAGATTTCTCACAATAGAGCTCGATTGGCGCGAACCATTGGAAGTAAAGCAACCCACCATTCGTAACGATATTTGTCTCAATTGAGTATTTGGCAGGGGCACTAGCTAGTGTACCCCTTTCCTACCTTCTTCGGTGACCACGTGGCTGCGTTGCATGCAGTCGAATAAACAAAAAGGAAGTATGTGTAATAGTGGGCGTCAGTCCGTAATATAACGTCTGTCGCCATCAATTCTTGGCACACCGTGGCGAAAAGCTGCGGATATTCTTTGGGGTATGTGCCGTACGCTCAAAGATTGAACGTCCTCAATGCTCTGCCTCGGATCTCAGGGTCCAGGAAAAGCCATACGTGGAGCTGAAGGACAGCGCGGGGCGCCCGGACGACGAGGTTGCGCGAGAGGCGTGGGAGAACCATGCCCTACGCAACCGGTCTGTGGTGGTGGACCTGTTCCACGGCCAGCTGCAGTCGACGGTGACCTGCAAGGTGTGCAGTCACACGAGCGTGCGCTTCGACCCCTTCAACTTCCTCTCCCTGCCCCTGCCCATGGAGAGCTGCGTACACGTGGAGGTGGTCGTCGTGCGGTTGGACGGCAGCGCCCCCATCAGGTGACCCCCGCCACGTCCCCTCGTGGCGCCGAATTTTCCGGTGCCCCCCGTTGCGGTGGCGTTTCGTGTCATCCCAAGGAGTTGAGGCCGGTTCGCACATTTGCATTTAAGCATGCTCAAGTGCGTCGCATTCTTGCGTGACCGCTTACAACGAGGGGACTTGCTGGCGCTTTCTTTTGGGTAGCTCCGAAGCACCTCCGATCTCCGTAATATTTTCGCTATATTTTACGCATCATTCTTTCACTGTGGACTCGAAAAAATTCCGGCAACGTTATGAGCTGCCATTTCTCACGGGTAGTGCATAAATTTGATCGCGAAAACCTTCGGACTTGCGATATGCAGATCCGGGGCTACGAGATAGATGGCACTGGTTCTGCTCCCCGTCGTAAGCGGTGATGAGGGAATGCAACAGACGGGCATGTTCAAATGGAAACATTTGAACCAGCTTCGATTTATACGAGCGGCATCCGAGCTCGCCTCTCGTGCTGGCCTTTTCCTTCGGATCAAATGATCGCGACATGGCGCTACCGACAGTGGGTTCGTGCACGCTTGGAGACAATCGAGACGACGGCGTATTTGCTTTCTCGTCGACGAGAACGCGCCGCAAAGAGGTTCCTCGCATGCGACGGCAGTCCGACCTTTAGTCTCGCCTAATTTATGCGAAGAACGTCCAAGCTCCCCTCCCTCCAACTCGCTTACCTGGGGAGGTGTTCCGTCATGCCGCAGGTACGGACTGCAGCTGAATCCGGACGAGCGGTACGCAACGGTGAAGCGGCACCTGGGGGCCCTGTGCGGCCTGGCGCCTGCACACATGCTGCTGGCCGAGGTGTGCGGGGCCGTGGTGCGGGCCCTGCTGCCGGACGAGCGGCGGGTGCAAGCCACGGCCCTCGGGGCCGGCCTCTTCGCCTACGAGGTGCCTGGCGACGCCGCCGTCTTCGAGGAGGACCTGGCCCACAGGGAGCCCCAGACCCTCACCCAGATCCAGAGGATGGTGGTCACCTGTGAGTGCGGGCACCGACCTGTTCGTCGCCTCTTTCTTTTTTGGGTCGGATGCACTCTCTTGTTGTGGGTAGCTTGGTAAAAACGAAAGACATAAATGTAATGTGCAAAAGTGAGATCAAAAAATGAGACGAGAAAGCAAGACAAAAGCGAGATACAAAAGAGTGATGACCGAAAAAACAACATATTGCAAGACGTGGGTTTGGATTGATTTTATGGAGCGATAGTTTGCTGAAAGGTGCTGGGTTATCATAGCGACACACAACGAAAATTCACGGTCAAGGATAGCGCTTTTACGCGGAACGATGAGCTTCCACCACGCCGTCTACGTCGACGATCACAACCGACGTCATGTTTCCGGATAGAAGAAGCAAGAAGCTGCCCCGCGACCGGCATGCAACGCGCGCGGGGCAGCTTCTACTTCTCCTCGACCTGCGATTGGTCTGCCGTTGCGGTTGTTTCCTACGAAGCGGAGAGACGCACGCACGTGAAAGACACGTGCGTGCGTCCCTCCGTCGCTATGGCAACTGAAGCTTCTCTCTTCCGCTTCTCCCCGCTTCTTCGAGCAACCTCCTTGCCCCGTGAGTGCCGCTTGCAGCTAGCGCCGTTATCTTGGTTATCGAGTGTCGCACAGGGAAGTGTGCTCGCTGCGTCGGTCGGCGTGGTCGGCTCAGCGGACTGTTTCAGAAACCGCACTATAACCGGTATTTCCCTTTGCGCGCCTGCATTTTAAGTGGTATGTAATTACATGGAGTTCTATGGGAGGTGAACCGGTGGTTAAAAAAGCCGCGTTATACCCGGTCCTGCACTATAAGCGGTTACATTGTAAGTGGTCTATACTGTAGTTGGCAGAAAGATAGCAGTCACAGGAAAAATGGCTCTTCCTCCTACATTTCTTCTTTTGCAACAATGCATACCTTCCTTGCAGAGCACAAGCCCAGCAAGCAACAGTGGCTCTAACGGATTTATAGCCCAATCCTCCAAAGGTTATCCCGGTAATATCCCACACCGCCTGGTGATAGTTATAAGAATGCTGAGGGGAAGGAAAATTGGATTAGAAAGGCTAGGGAAGGAATAATACTTTTGGTTCTTTTTGGTGTCTAGGCTAGGCAACACAAGCTACTGCCTGTTATAAAGGGCACAGACGTTAGAATCGCTCCATCCATCCATAGTCATTGACAAGATGAGAACAGCAAGGAGAAGTTTCAGTTTCACGGCCTCCACCCTGAGCTTCCCACCTTCAACAACGCCCTGCGTCTCGTCCACCACGAGCGCTCATGTGCAGCCATAGCAGGGCGGAAGGCAGAAAGCGCGTGCTTGGAGGCGTTCAAAAGACAAGCTCTGCCGTCATCACTCTCTCGGTGACTATACCTGCGCACCCCCGGCGCAGCACAGAAACTCTGGCTACGCTGAACGGGGGTCCAACACATTCAGCTAGGACGCACACCCTCGCAGACTTACCAATTCTCTAGGGCATGCAGGGGGTGCAGCGTGCATCGACAGCCACGGATTCTGCTGTTCGCATTTCACTCGTGCCCGATAGTAGAGAGTTTTAGCAGATCGTTTCTTCGCCTCGATAATGATACCCCCTCTCCCTTCCGGTGGCCTTGGGCATGCGTCATATCGTTATCGGGTGTCATTATCGGGACGAAAAAACAATCTGCTAAAACTCTCTAGTATGTGGCATTTCTAGGAATTGACACGAGGGAGATTACAAGAGGAGAGCTCCGGCAAGTAGGAAAGGGTTTAACCGGACATTGAACTCTCGACCGCCCCCGCAGGTGCCAACGGCGTTCACCCTGCCAAGATGCCCCTGGCCAACGGTAGCGTACCTTCCGGGGACGGCGCATCCACGGCTCGAAGTCTGGGGGACCTCAGCACGGGAGGAGGAGGTGCAGGCGAGACCCCCGCACAGGTGACGGGCCTCTTCTGCTGCAGCCGCCTGGCGGCCCACGGGGGCACTCCGTGCGCCCCGTACATCGCGAGCCTCGGACGTGGGTTCTTGAGGGTCGTAAGTTGCCGCCGGGCTGTGCGTGCGTCCCTGTCCGTGTGTGCCTGCTTGTGTGTCTGTGTGTGCCACACCGTCCCCAGTTAGGCACCAGGGTTGTAGTAAACCCCCTACCCGCCAAGCGTCGAACTTTCATAGAATCGATGCCCGCCCCAGAGAGGGAACGCACGGCCGTGTTGTGAAAGGGTGTTGGCGGTAATGACGGTGAGGAGGAAGAGCTCCCCAGTCCGGCAGTCTGTGCACTTGCCCGAGATGCCACGTGTGCCGTTCGGGCTTGGCCACCTATCGCACTCGTCCACTGCATCCACGGTTGCTGCCTTCCTCAAGGGGTTGACAGTTCCACGGCAAGCAGTGGGACCATTATGGACTTTGCCTTCTTGTCTCACGAGAAAAGGTGCAGACAAAAAAGAGGCTTTGTGCACTGTGTGTCGAGAAACGGTTGCCTGCTCGGAGCACTAGAACCATAGATGAGGGCAATTTTCATTGCATGTTTCCAAACCTACTTCCGCAACTTCTTTAGAAGAACGCCAGGTGTTGTGAATACCTGATTCACTTGAGATGGCCGACGATCGAACCTGTTGGTGCAGCTTTCTGTTTTAGCCACTAGGTGCCATCGATATTGCTGGAGTCGCCAATTGAGTTGACTTTTATTGTCTCGGATAAACAGATGGATGGTCTTCTGAAGGCCTTCCAAAGTCAAATGGAATTAATGTCTTCTCATGTAGGCTATCTTATCTGGCAGTCTGAGGATGCTGTTTACCAAGAGAAGTTTTATTTTGGGATACAATGTGTCACTTGGTCTTTTATTTTTGTCGACGTACAGGGGGCAGCGGCCATACAGTTAAGTACCTCCACCAGTTGCTTTGTTGACAGCATTTGCCCAGATTGCACTTTATTAATGCGAAACCATGAACTGTCAAATGGAGAGAACCGACGTCACCAACTTTTGAAGCCGTGTCGAACGGCACCTTTCTTTGTCCCGATAAAGCGAAGCTTGTAGTCTGTAGCAGAAATCTGATGGATAAACTCCCATTGGCTGGCGCACGTCATAGTTTCAAGGAGCGAGGCTCCCATTGGCTCTCGCGTGGCGTAGTTCCAAGGAACGCCACCAGAGAAGCCCTCTTCATGGCGGTGCAGCGCACGCAGCGGCCCGGCCGCCGGTAAGAGGTGCGGGCCTAGCCGCAGAGCCCCCACGGGCAAACTCCGGAGAGGCTGTACGGCTGGGCTCAGCCAGCGCCTCGTGTATCAGTTACACTATGCCTGTCAGCTCCGAGCACTGGCAAGCGGAAGGGAGAGGACAAATAGCATGTGTGGTTGCCGTGCGGCGGAGCCATCTAGGCGTACAAACCTGCCGTGTAGTGAAGCCAACCATCTCTTCCGTAGGAGGTTCAATGATGTCGCCCCCCCCCCCCCCCCCCCCCCCCCCTGCAGCACCGACTGCAAGAAATCTAAATGTTTTTGACTGACAGCTCGGGACCAGCTCGCGTTTTCAACGGAATATTAATTCTTATTTTCCTACCTTTTCAACCGCACAGGACCCGGCGCCAACTACTTATATGCCCGCGATTCAAGGTGACCGCCAAAGCCCCAGACTGCCGCCAAAGCAGACAGTCAAGCGGCCAAGCGTTCTCCACGTTCGCGCTGCAAAAGCAAAGCCTGGCCGTGCTTGTTTCGTAGTTTCGTATTTTGTCTCAGCAAAACTCGTTTGAATCAGAGCGGTCACATCCAGAATAGTGTTCGGCATGTTGTTAAAAAAACATATATGATATAACCTCAATAATGAGGTAAAGTACAACATGCTAGAGAAATAGACAAAACGAACGTCCGCCAGGCAGTGCTAACTAGCTGTACAAGCATGTTGTGAGGTGAAGCACCGGGCCTGGACACGTCTTGGAGAGAAGCTGACAGGCATAGTGTAACTCATATAGGAGGCACTGGCTCAGCGTGGCACAGCCACTTTACGAGAGTGCGCGCTCGGTCGTCGGCCGCAGACGAACTAAGAGAGGAGAAGAACGACATTCATGCTTTCGCATGAACTCATATCCTTGGAATTTTTTTTAAAATTTCTTTTATGGATTTTATTTAATGGTTTGAAAGCCTAATTAGGTTTATTTATTTATTCATCTGACGATATTGCTTGTCCTGCCTGGGCCCAAGCAGCTATAGATGTGCCAGGACATATGGTAAAAAAGTTGCAAGCTTCAGTGCAAAAGTATTGGCGATAACGAACACCTAGAAACTGTATTAGTAAGCTTTGAGGAAGTCATCTGGTGATGGGCTGGGAACAGTTTCTTTTGGAAGGCCATTTGATTCAATTATCGTTCTTGGTAAAAACGGTTTCTTAAAACTATTGTTGCTGCCTTATGGGTTCAGTAGTCAACCATGGTTAAATCATAAGGTTTGAATTTTGTAGATATGGCTACAAAAATGTTCAATTTAAGAAACCATGGGCTGGCTGCCATGTCTTCCATAGCATTGTTTCCTACCTCTGATGCAGAGTATAGGAAAGAGATTGGTTCGCTTATTATGCAGCAAAGTTGAAAGAATTAGTGGAGTCTCTGAAGGTTTGGTAGTCCTTCAGAGAGGACACGTGTCCAATCTGAGTCAAGGGGGCACGCACACACGCTGGTACACACGGGGAGTGGCGCACAGTGCTATAGCAGATGCGACATGCACCGGCACTGTTTGGACTGGTGCACGGCATGTGCCTTGCAAAGAGTAGGTAGAAGTAGCAGTAGTGTTTTCACTTGGACGGTCATGTGTTGGCTCTGCTAACTCGATTTGTGTCGTGCCAATTTGACCTACCACAGTCGCCGACAGGAGGAGAACAGCAAGGCGTCTTTTCGAGACGCCCTGCCTCCAACGTGCGCTCATTGCCTTCCGTCGTGCTTTGGCCTTGGCGGCGGTGCTCTTTAAAGAACACCGCCCCCGAGGCTGGATCAGTGCCTCACACTGCTCCGCCTTTGGGGCCGTTGTTTTTCAGGCGTTTTGTGCTCTTTGCTGTCTTAGTCTCGTCTTCGCACTGCCGCAGCTACTGAAATTCGCAATGTCATAACTCGAAGAATAACTTATGCCGTTAGGAACAACGGGCTGCAAATCTACATGCGCCAGCTTAAAATAAAAGTTGGAGACTTTCTCTACATTCATGCCCTGGCGTGCACCATGGTCGGTGACATTATTCTGGAGGATTTCTAGCGTCCTTTTTGTTTTGAATATTTTCCATCTTTTTAAAAAAGCACCTTGTTTATCCCTAAAGGAGGTCAACGGGACTGGTATTCCTGAACATAACAGCCAGCAAAATGTATAAACTGTCACTGCAGACAAGGTTCTGCTGTAGCTGCTAGTGACCCAGATTAAACCAGCAAACTTGACGTCAAGTGAGCACTGAGCAGCAAAGTTTCGGAGCATTTTATGCATAATATTTCCAGGGCCAACTCTTATCGCTTTCGTGTTCATGGCATGTGGCCTCGATGATGACACGACGGTGCTCACGTAATGTCGTCGGCGGTTTACAAAATTCACCACGATGACGTCGCGGTGTTGTGAAGCCATCGGTGCGACAGTTGTCATGCGACGCCATTACATCACATGGTGCTGTGACATTGCATGACAGCATGATATCATTTCACACCGGGACGTCCTCGTATCCCATGATGTGACCTGACCTCACGTGACGTCATCGGCGTTTTAAAAGATTTAAGTGAACATTGTAATGATGGCATTCACAGAGCAGCTTCGGTGTAGCAGTCGTTGCGTGACACCGTTGAATCATGTGACACCACAATGTCCCGTGACACTCACGTGTGACCTGGCCTCAAGGAGGATCTATACAGGGTGTTTAATTTTAATTCGAACGGATATAAACAATGAAAGGGGGTGAAAGTTAGACAAGTGCCATTTTCACCACGTATTTATCAGGCTCAGGACATTAGACGAGGGGATGAGGTAGTAGGTAGGCAGATGGACTAAAATCTGTTAACTTTTCATCTGTTTGTTTTAGGGGTCGCGTCACAATGGCAGTATTGGCGGCAATTACTATTAGAGGCCAGACAAATTAAAGTAATTTGCAAAAATGTAGTGGTTTTTTTAGATATTGGTAAATATTCATGTTTTTAACCCGATTTAAGAATTGTGCGCAAAAAGCGTGCTGCAAGCTCTGCCTACAATGACACTTAGAAGAATGACTGGGGCAGTCGTCTCAACGTCGTCTTTCTCTCGGCAGCACGTCCTTGGTCGTTACACAAACGACACGAATGACGATGTGACCAAAGAGACTACGCCACTCTTCTAAGCGTCATTGCAGGCTGGGCTTGCAGCACACTTTTTACGCGCAATTTCTAAATTGGGCTGAAAAACTTTGCAATATATAGACTAATATCTAAAAAACCATTATATTTTTGACAAATTATTTCAACTTGCCTGGCCTCTAATTGTAATTGCCGACAATACTGCAATTGGAACGTGACCCCTGAAGCCAATCATTAAAAAGTTAACTGATTTTAGATTAATTTATTATTTGACTGGGACGATAATCCCCTTGTCTAGTGTCCTCCGAGCCTGATAAATATATCGTGAAGACGGCACTCGCCCAACTCCCAACCCTTTTTCTAAAAAGAATTTGTTGCTATTAAAATCAAATGCCTCGTATATGCCGTGCATTCAGAGAGCACCATCAGGATATACCAAAGAGACGGGCAGTTTTTGTGTCTTGCGGCCCAAACACGAAGAATGCAGTCGGTAGGGAATCCAACGGCCGTTGCTTTCTCTCTCCAGGGTCAGGGCAGTGAAGGAGTCCCTGAACGTCCCGACACGCCCGGCTCGACGTCCTCCAGGAACGTGGTGCCCACCGTCTCGTGGAACGGCGTGGGGCTCTTTGCCGAGATCTCGCCGGGCATGACGTCCAGCCTGACCAGCAACTCTTCGGCGGCCGACCTGTCCGAGCTGGCGCGGCGGAACTTCGTGGTGGCTTACCATCGGAAGATGGTGGGTGGTTTTCCTCGCATCTGAGTCGAGCAGTTTTTCATTATAGTAGACCTCTTTTCTTTACCCTTGTCTCCACTCACATAGTTCATGCATCCCGTATGGGTGACAAAAATAAAATTGCAATGTGGAAGAAGTAAAAGGAATATAGAAGAGGCAAAACGAGGATTGACAGTTGCAATTGAAATGTGAGCACTTCTCCAGTTGCGTGGCGAGGGCAAAACTATGTTTTCACCCATACCGGAGATTCTGCCATTCAATATTGCAACTACGTGGAAAAGCTGTATCGCACACGGGGTGCCTTCCGTTGGTCTATGTAGTCATGGTGAAAGTTCTGCAAAATGGTTGAGAATCGTATGTAGTTTTGTTATTGCCTGTCGCTAGATTCTGGTCTGGAACGGGTAATTCTTGTTGGTTTGTTGAACTCTTTAGCCACCTGGGAGAAGTGGAGAGCATAGCTTTTTAGTAGGTTTATATCAGTATTTCTCAAAGGTAAGGAGTGGTTTCAAATGCAGCTGCCATCTTGTAGAACCATGTGTGACTGCTAAGAGGTCCTTGAGTGCTTGCATCAGAGGCAAATTGACTACTGCCAATTTTTGGAGCAGACGCTGAAGACTAATTTTCGAGGTCCGCTGCAATGCAGAATTTTTCAACAAATGTTTGTAGAGCTGTGGCTGGTCCACCAGAAATGCAAAGGTATTGAATCAAGGACAAGCTTGAAGTGCCAGAAAATATTACTTGACCTAATCAAGCTGTCAAAAATTTTATGAGAATCTCTGCTCGGGAGAGCCTCATGAACCAGTGATGCCGACCTGCTTATCCGGCCTTGCCGTGTCCCGCAGATGCGCCAGGACGTGTACTTCCTGTCGTCCCAAAAGACGCGTCCCACGCTGTTTGGGATGCCCCTGGTGCTGCCCTGCCACGAGGGCACCAGCCGCCAGGACCTGTACCGCCTGGTGTGGACGCAGGTGGCGCGACTGGTGTCCCCCCTGCCTCCTGCGGAGGCTGCCATGCCCAACCACGCTCAAGACTGGCACGTTTCATGCCTTTCTTTGCCTCTGATTAAGCTGGGATTGGAGCGGTGGCAAATCACATACAACATCTGGCAGTGGCTGTTCGCGTCCTGTGCTATGTTCACTGACAGAATTGGGATGGTAGGGAGGTCTTTTACTTATCCTGCCTGCTAACGGGCGGCGAGGTATGAAAATTCTTTATCTAGCGAGATCAAAACGTACAGTAATCCCTCGTTAAAACGAAATCACTTTTTTCGAATCATCACTCTTATCGAAGTTCAATGTGGTCCCGACCGAAACGCATATATTTTGAACCGGATTATTCAAAGTGTATCAACGGCCGACCATGCTTATTATGAAGGCCAAGGTGCCGAAAGCATGCAAGCTTACACAGAGGCGCACGGAGACCTTTGCATTCCCTCCTTCTCTACCGAGGTAAACGGAAAACTGGGAAAACAACAGAAAATGATGAGTCATTCCACTCTGCGAAGGTGGATGACCAGCAAAGCTGTTTAGCATACGACACAGACGTGACACAGAATTTTGAACAAAGGTACACGCACATTTATTTTCTTAATTGGTGGTCATCTATCAAATGCAAGTAGTCACCGACGGTACTTGCAGTGCACGAGTCTGCTTTGCAGGATCCCGCTGTGTATTGCCGATGTTGGTCAAGTCATTGTCAAACCACAGCCGATCACACACGCTACAACTACACCCAGACTGTCTGTCCAGAAAGTCCCTTTTGAATTTAGCGTATGCTCCATTAAAGTTGTCCAATTTAGGAGCATGATACCTGGTTCGTTGTGATGCGTTCTCCGCCCCACGACAACGAAAGTTGCGGGGCGAAAAACGCATCTGGTGCGAGCAGTGCGAGCCTGGGGCTGAGATCTTGATCAGCGTTGGTCTTGATTTAGAGTTTGACTTGCGCGGGCTCTAGCGCAAACACGTGACAGGACTGCCACCCTAGGAGAGCAGAAGGAAACTAGGCATGCAAGCGCTTGGAACGACGATGAATACAGGCCGCTGCGAGTTTCTGTTGATGCACATGAAAAATCCATGGAACCCTAGCCATAAACAGCTTCGCTGTAAAAAGTAAACGGAACAAACGAGTGACGGAGGGCAAAGCACTGCTTCCGATGCGCCGACGTGGGCAGGTAGCAGCGTCAGCGTTCCGACGCTACTTACGGCGCCTGCGGTTAATGCTGCCCGACTCTTGTCGGAATCAGGTCAAGGGAGCGGTGGAGTCCAAAGGAGATCATCCCTTCGGTAGCCCCCAACGCACTCACCTGCACGGGTGTGCTTGCGGCGTACCAGAAGCTACACGCACACGTGCGTCGTATGGGGGTGGGAGTGTTTACCGAAAGTCGCTTAGGTCTGTGAGGTTAAGAAAAGTGGCTGGTCCAAACCTAGAATTGCCAAAGAATTCAACATTCCGGCATTGGCTGTTCGACATTGTTCAACATTTTACGGAACAAGCAAGGCATGTTGGACGAGTTCACGAGTTCGAGAAGTTCCTCATGCTAGAGAAAGCGCTCCCACGACCCAGAGATGAAAGATCGCCAACTGCTTTGCGCACGTCAGATTTTTTTTCCGCGAGCATGTCTCCCGAGTTGGTGCACAATTCCCAGAGCTGCAACGGTTTCTACAGGAGTGTGTGAAAACATGTCCGACCGAGGATAACTCATTCACTTGCGCTTGTTGATGCAGACGTTCCCCGTTCCGGTTGTTGCTCCTGCCACGGATGCTGCGATCGTAAACCTTGCGTGCAGCCAGGGTAAACACGAAGTGTCGGAAATGCACTTAATGAAACACTGACGACTGTGAAGACACGAAACATCCTATGGCTGCTTCAAAACAAAGTGGAGTGCAGCGGCGGGGAGTGTTTTTGCGGTGCCTGGAGCAGTTGGAGGAGAACTGATGCCTGGATGAAATTCTCAGCAAAATCCACTTAATTATTTTTTTACTCGGTGAAGCTGCGGCTGGTTGCTCATAACCAAAGTTTGTTTTATTAAATATACGGTTTGAGTGTTCCTCAGTGTTCCCATCCACCTGAAAGGCTGCTGGCACTTTTTTTTTTTTGCTCTGTTGGCTTTTTCGAATTACTGCTTATATAGAATTTTTTTGCCGTCCCGTTGACTTCGTTATAACGAGGGATTACTTTGAAAATTCAAATATTTGCACAGCACTATTAAATATGCAAAACAATAGTGTTGAAGCTAAGCACTATCATGAAGTTAACCTTTGTGGTTGGCATCTTTTTAGTTGGGGTCAGCAAGCAAAGAGGGGTTGCACAATAGTTTTTTTTTACAACATTAGCTGTTAAGGGCTCTTCCCACCACTGGGAATGACGTCCGTTGTGAATGTTGTAGTTGCAGTAGTAGTTGTTGATGTTGTCATTGTAGGGCGTCCATCGTCCATGTTGCCAAATCCTTAATAAAGATTGCCCGCCGCCGCGAGAATCAAACCTGGGTCCGCTGCGTGCGAAACGGAGGCGCTACCTCTGAACTATGTCACAGCTTTAATAGCCCGCTCTATACTTGGGGGGCTTTGTGCGACCCGACGCGACTGGAAGTGCTCTCTGGAACTGAATCATTCATTTTAATGGGGAATTATATCTACCTGTTTTAATTCCTGTCAGGAAGGTAACGCTGTTTTTAATATTGGCATTTTATTCTCTTTTCAGTGATGACAGTTTGGGTTATGAATATCCCTTTACGCTGAAAGCGGTGCAGAAGGACGGTTTCATGTGCGCATGGTGTCCTTGGTACAAGTAAGTGTCCTTTCTGGGTAAATTGTTTCACCGTGGAAGCTACCTTTAATTGTATATGACACGCTTCTTTCCATGCGGGCCGTTTAGACAAAGTTTGATACGCATTGTTTTAAAGGGATACACTTTGACAGGGTACTTATGCGTGCCAATGTTTTTATTTTAACATGACCTATGAGAGCCCAATTACCCAGAAAACAATTTAAGGCTCAAATCCATATTTTTTTTCCACCCAAAAATTCCCGGTTGAGAATTGGCCGGTTTAGGCGCGCTCACTCTCTTTTTCATGGTCACGTGCCGTTCAAACTGATGCATACCAAATATATTCAAAGTCGTGGGATATCTATACAAATAGAAAAGAATAGAGCAAATAGCAAATAGAAAAGAATATGAACCCCATTTTTTGCGGCTTCCGAGAAGTTGCAGAAACGTTGATTGAAAAATATTATTGTACAGATCGAAGAAAGTAGATGTACAAGTCATTCTCAATATGGCGACGTGCCGCAAGCTAAACGATATAGTATCGATACTTCGGAACTGTGGTTCGTGGTACCGGCCAACTGATCTTCAAGCGCAGAACTGCGAGGGGAAGGGATGTATGGTCGCCGACCGATGTTCAAACTTTGCAGGGACCGATAAAACAACCGAATAATAGAGCAGTCCAAAAAATCAGCAGATTAAAAAACTTACACTTATTACGTCTGAGCGGGCTTAAAAAAGCCGTCAATAGTTCCTTGCTTTAGGTTACGCCTCTGCTTGCGTTCAGCTACTTTCTATTAGCTTGAGAATCACTGCCTTCTTTTTTAGCGTTATAGTTGAGTACTTTCTTAGCAACGCTTCGCGGCGCGGAAAAACGGATGGGACCATGAGGTCCAAGCCAGTGTGGTCCAAAAACATGATTCACCGAGACGAGATGAGAGGCTGAAGTCCACGACTGCAGAATGGCGAATGAACAAAGCAAAATGTTAACAATAATGATAACAATGCTGATATATATATATAAAAAAGAAAGCCATAGCATAGCGTCACCTAGTGGTTGGATTTGGCAGTACTCAAGTAGTGCTGCAAAACCAGGCCAATCTATGAGCTGCCAAGATAGAATAAAAAATGGCGGCTTCTCGATGGTGTTTCCCGCTGATTGCTCGCGACGATTTTTTCCGAAAAATTGTACCTTTCGGACTTCAAGCCGTTTGAAACGTTGTTCGTGAATATGCACTATTTCTATCGAGTAGGTCACCATTCTTCCTTTAGTTTCGAAATATTGAATGAGTCCGAATTATTGTAGTCCGAAAAATCGGTCGGCGACTATAAGTGCGAAGCAGTCTCACGACAAACGGTTGAAGCAATGTCCTCGTTGTCGTCGTCTGCTACATACCCGAGAAGCAGAAGGACGGAAAAAAACTGGGTAGGGAGCGATAGCCACGTGGCTTCCGGCAACTCTCTCCTCGGAGCCTCTGTGCACATGTTTTGGGTTCGAGCAGTTGTGCTTTTTGACTCTATTAAAAATATATGCGACTCTGTAGCAAAATATTGAATGGGTAGTCTTCTGACGCTATACTAAATCACCTGGCAAAAGATTAAAAAAAATTTGGGGGACAATGTCAATGACCCTTTAAGCCATGAAGTGTCCCTTTAAGCCATGACAGGGAAGGGGATCCTGTATATGTTTATGCTGACTTCACAAGCCGCACTTCCACAGAACACATTTTGTTCAGTTGTTGGTGCATCCGTCATTATTCCTGCTCTGGCATGAGCCATTCCGGTCATGCAAGGCCCATTTGGTAACCACTCTTTTAAGGTATTGCAGCTCTCCAATATGTAAAAGCTGTATTGATTTGAATCCAGTGGTCAGGGTGCTCCTCTTGTGTGCGTACGTGCAGGTTCTGTCGTGGCTGCCAGATAGAGTGCGATGATGCGGACTTCAACTTTAGTACCGTCTACCTGTCCATTGACTGGGACCCGACGGCACTCCACCTGAGGTACCAGGCCTCGCAGGAGAGGGTAAGCATGTCTCTGGGGCCTAGGTCCTGTGTCTTAGTTTCAAAGAAGAATGTCCCGCTGCTATTCTAAATAAAACAATGTTCTTGGTGTTGAATGCAATGCTATCCTTTTGCTGCCTACTGCTCGCTATTGCAGGAGGTCATTAAGGATAGTTGTGCGGGTAAACATGACTGTATAAAATGTTGCGGTGTTTGGCAGTACTACTGGCACTGCTATCGGCATATTGGAGGTACCTACTCGGAGGGTACTATTTTTCTGGCGAAGCCGAAGGGAATTGGTGGTGACTGCATTGGCACATTGTAGCTTGGAGCAAATGGAGCGCAAGCTCACGCTGCAGAATTCCGTTCAGTCCTTACCCTTGCCTGTTCTCAATCTGGATGAGCATTGTAGTACTGGCACGCAGTTGTATCGCTACCGCTTGGTGCACGTTAAGGACCCTAGGCTAGCAGTGATACTACACTGGCTGAATTTCTCATCTATAGCAGAGGCACCAATCGCCCATTGAGGCTGATCAACTTTCCGCCATCCAAACATTCTCACAAAACTATTACTTTTGGTGGCACTGACTTTATCGCTGGAGTTGGTGATAATTTCTACGGAACGTGCGGGTCTCCTAAGGTCCGAGCTGCAGTGAAGATGCGAATGGTCCTCCTTCTCCGAATGGGCGCAGGTGTACGTGGACCACCCAAGCGTGGAGCGGACGCGCCAGCAGAAGGTGGAGCCGATCAGCGTGCACGACTGCCTTGAGGCCTTCACCAAGGAGGAGCAGCTGGGGGACCGGGAGAAGTACTACTGCTCCCGTTGCAGGCAGCACCAACTGGCCACCAAGAAGCTCCAGATCTACAGGCTGCCTCCCATCCTGGTCAGGCTCTCTCTTCTCTCTCGTGTTTGGATTCTTTCGGGCTTTCTTCTGCGGCCGTTACTACCGAGGTCTCGCAGTGAATTCGGTGTGTGTACATTGTAGCCCACTGAATTTAGCGGAGATATCGCGTGACAATGCAACCTCTGCGTCCTTGTCAAATTCTGAACAGTGGTGGAGAACGATTGCACATAGTCTACGTGCAGCAGAGCGTGCAGCGCCTCGGCTATCGCCTCGGTTCATTGGCGGGACACTGCGAGGAACGGGCAATTTGTTTCATCGCCGGAGGGATGCCAGATGTGCAACAATTTAGGAGTGGCAGCATAGTATTTGCCGCTTCCATCGCCCTAGTAAACCGGGAACGTGCGAGAACTTTGACGAGCGTACAAACGTCTCGATGAGGAAAATGTATGGAGGTTGCCAGTCTCGGGATGCGCCTACCACACCAGGATTTTGTGGCACATTCATTGTTCGAGGAAACTGTTGCTAAAACAGAATGAAATGTCTGTTTTACAGCGATAGCTGTTATGGGCGCTTCCCACCACTGGAAATGATGTCCGTTGTTGTAGTTGTCGTCGTTGTTGGTGTTGTATATTTGGCGTAGTAGGGCATAAAGTGTCGGTCGTCAACACTGCTCAAAGATCGCCTGCTGCTTGCGGGAATTGGACCTGGGTCTGCTGCGTGCGAAGTGGAGACGTTTCCGCACAGCTACGCCACAGCGTTAACAACCTGCTTTATAGTTCGGGTTTTTATTGCACCCTATGCTCTCTGCACTCGCTCTCTGAAAAAAATGGCCGATTACAAAATGCTGTTTTTGCGCTGTCAATGCCAAGACCTTGTGCTGGGAGATGTGCTTTCACATGCTCCAGAACAAAAAAGGAAACAAAAGTGTTTGGAACAAAATAGTCGGATGTCTATTTTATTGAGACATTGATGCCCAACGACTTTACTGTGACATGTCGCAGCTATCGCTGGGACTGTACTGTGCATCAGACGGAACTGCCAAGTTTTTTGTGACATGGGGCAACAGCAGAAGTGATGGTGTGCACTCGGAGGATACACCATCTGTGCTCTGCAGTGTTTGTTCATTGGTTAATTTTCGAGTGACTTGAGACTAGCAGTGATGTGATTGCTGCGCCAATTGCGCCAAACTGTGCCAAGGGGCTAACCCTGCTACATCATGCTACATTTTGCCAAAATATGGGTAATCTGCGCCAAGCCTGCGCCAAAGGACCAATTTCGGTCGACTTTCAAAACCGAAACTAAACTAAGAACGTAATTGAGCATGCGTGAGCTAGGTGGCGCAAACGGCCCCCGACAAAAAGTACACTGCATCCATCCGGTCTTGCGTGGTTTCGGCCGCCGTCTCGCGCCTCGTCGTCTCGGGAATCTCGTCTCCCGCCTTTTTTAAACTTTTTCAACGATAAACGTGGGCGTGTGCGAACGCTCCGACGCTAGTGTACCGGGCGCCAGACATGCCGACATGCTGTGAAACAAAACCACGTTTTTGCGCGACGAGAGTTCCTTTCTGAGCTGAAACGCTGGTCGCGCGACGTCGGGTGTTGTGTCCCCGCGTCTCTGCAGATAAGGTGCTTTCTAAACGTGTTCATCGACATTCCTGTCCTTGTTTAAATCATACTCTACTACAAAAACCCCTCTATAAAGGGATACTACTACGAAATATCGCTTATCTCTTAAGTCTATTCGTGTGCAAGGGACCACTATCACATCAGACACATCAAGCTCTTGTTGAAAAAGACACGAAAAGGAATTTCAAAATGAATTAAACGATTAGCAAAGTGCACCTGGTGGTTGTCGCTAACGCCTCGTTTGTAATGCCCGTCTAGGAACCTTGCCAGGTAGTGACGATAACTGTCTCGCCTCCGGCCACCACGAGAAAAAAGGGAAAGAGGAGCTCCCCTCCTCCCGAGAATATGCTTTGTGTCTCCCAGAAGTTGCTATTGTCCCTCTACAAGACTATAAAAGATTAACCCGTCACTCAAAATTCGTACAAAAGCAGCCGCTTTGATGGCTGGAACCGTTAGGACATCTTCTCAACATCAGCCTCGCCGAAGCTTTGCTCGTTCCGAGACGAACTACGTCACGATTGCGTTGGGTGTCACGTGCTCTCCGCTGGCTGTTCTCCGAGCGCTTGTCAGAGTGGGCCGTTTGTAACGAAAAATACAGCCACAAGGCTCAAAATACAAACGTGCAATTATCATTTACGGATATTGTGGATCATATTCAACCTATTTCTGAACACGACGGGCGTTTTTCAAACTCCTTGAAATGTCCTTTTCATTCAAAAACCGCTTGTCTAAATAATAATTACCTAGGTTTCTCTCGGTGGGCTTTCTTTCGAGAGGGATTCCGGTACGTAAAAATTCTGCCACGAAAGGAAGTCGGTGAAGAGAAGTGAGCTAAAGGAAAGAAGGCAGTGTCTGCACGCTGAACCCGCAAAGCGCGCTTGTTTGTCTCGAGTTCAGTCGTTCCACAAAGCGCTCCAAGAAATGTTTGACCCTGGCTCGCGATGTCTTGCATCGATGCGCTCAGGTTCTTTCCTCCTGTGTGTTTAGCTTGTACCTCACCTGCCGGTCTGGCAAGCATGCGCCGCTGGAGTGTTGTTTTGTCGTATGCTGGACAGTTACATTTTGCATACTATTTTGGGAACCAGTTGTCGACAGAGTGGCATTGTTCCGATTTCGATTGAACAGCCGTTGTCTCCGCTTGCCCGACGAAGCACGTACCACTGCAAGCCTGCTGATGTTGCCCTCACGTGTGCATGTGAATATTAATGCACGACAGAGGCGCCAGTCGGGACTTTTGCAATTCATTGTTTTACGTTTGCTTACTTTTGACGAAAATCTGGCACGTCGGGACCCAGTAAAACGGTGGCAAGCGTTCTTTTCGGAATCGCTCGGCAACGCCTACAACACTGTACACTTGTGGGATGTCTCAGCAGTAAAAACTTAAAAAGCGAGTTCCGTCACAACTCAGCACAAAGTGCCCTTCGTTTGTCCAGCACTTAAAACAAAAATTTTTTTTTAAAGAATTTTTGCTTTAAAAGCTACTTTTGCTGCTCCGAAACACTGTTTTGGTTGCTCCAAAAGCCACGTTTGCTGCTCCAAAGCACTGTTCTGGCTGCTCCAAAGCTCACTTTTGCTGCTCCAAAACACTGCTTTGGCTGCTCCAAGAGGTGCTCCAAAATGGCTTAGGCAAATCACATCACTGGACTAGTCAAAGACGTGCTTTAGGCACCTTATCACTAGTAAACACGGTCGGTGGTCTTGGTGTGGCTTGTGTTGACTTGACTTGGCTTGGCTTGACTTGGCTTGAATTGGCAGGTGCCTGCGTGGCACGCGGCATTTCTGCGGCGTGCTTTGTACAGACACAAAAGCGATAAAAATGCTTTTTATGTTTTTTATTTCCCCTTCACATGGCCCCCCAATAGCCTCCCATATCCCCCCTCTTTTCCCAACCGATCTCCTGCATTGAGGTTGAGGGATGGCTTTCTCCAGACTCGCGCGCCTCGTGGCAGAACTCGATTACAAATGTAACGGGAGGTTCCTTTTTGAGTATGTAATTTAGAGAAAAAAACACGCGTTTTATTTGTGCGAACACGGCATATATATATAGATATATATATGTATATGCACAGTGCGCCCAAAAAGAGCAGTAATAGTAACGTTCGGAATCTCCATGCAATTAACTATTTTCGTTGGTCAAATTTCATGGAGGTGGTGACCCAAGAATGGCAGCCCCCCCCCCCCCCCCCCCCCCTAAGAGAAAATGGTGCCCGTGTATTTCCATTGCTGCGAGTTGACTTGACGTCTTGCCATCTACAACTGTTCATTTTGTATTGACAACCCAACAAACAATATGCCATCAAAAACAAGCTTCTAGAAAAAGCACCTGGGTGTGCCTTTAAAATAACTACTATTTTGAGACAGCAAAGGCACTGGCTGCTGCATATCTCTAGTGCAAGAAAAGCGGTGTGAGCATAGCTTTGCATCTAGCGGTGTCTCCGCTTGTGCCCTTAAGGCCCATTCACACGGGAGCATTTGCTCACATTTCCTTACGTTATGTTCCTTATCACCGGAACATTTGTGCTTTGTACATGCAGAGCTACTCCGTGAGCTGCGCTTCACGCGAAGCACAGAAGCTCCCGTAACATAATGCAACCTAAACAGTACTGCGTGAATGGGCATATAGCCGACTCCCGGAGCACCCTTTTTCCGTAGCAGACAAGCCTTTTCAAGTTGTCGCTTCCCCGCCCAGATTATCCACCTGAAGCGGTTCCAGCTGCTCAACGGCAAGTGGGTCAAGTCTCAGAAGATAGTGCGCTTCCCCTTCAAGGACTTCGACCCCACCGACTACCTATCCCCCGTGCCCCGCAAGGCTGCCCTCAGCTTCCAGCGTCGGAAGCGGCAGTCGTCGCCGGCCGGTCCCAAGGCCGGCGCCCGCCCCGCCTCCCCTCTAGTCCGGCGCATGCCCGAACCCGGGCTGCTCCTGCGGCAGTCCGCTTCTAGTCCCGCCAGGGGCCGCCCGGAGGTGGCCCAACTCCGGCACTCGGCTCAGCAGAAGGAGAGCCCACCTACGACGAGGGGCCTGTCCAACGGCGACGTGCGGCACGACGCGTGCCACAACTCGGTCGTTCTGGACGGCACCCAGGAAGCGGGCACCGGCGGCGAGCCCCAGGACCACCACAAGCACAGGCTACATCCGGGCTACAGCCCGCTAGACCTCAAGTACCAGATGTATGCCCTGGCGGTGAGTGGGGCGCAGTGGTCTGCATATCGGGCCAAAGGCTCCCCGAAACAAGGCCGTGGCGCCGAAATTTTGACGTCGCCCGAAGAAGCAATTGTGGGACGTGGATTGGACACGGGTGTTGCATCAGCAGCACCCGTGTCCAATTCAATAAATACTATGCATTTATTGTGTTGAAATTTAGTATACTGATGTATTTCTCAGTGGTGATTTGCAATATGCAATTTATAATTTCAATTAGGTCCTCTTTACGGGACGTTAGCATAAAATTCTTAAGAATATATCAGAAATTGTTATAGAATTGCATTAACCAAGACATGCTTTGTGCGGTGATGCTATTTTTGTGGCTTTTTATCTCATACAGTGAAACCTCGTTAATTTGGATCTCATGGGACCAGCAAAAATGTCTGAATTATCCGAAAGTCGAAATATCGAAAGTAAAAGCAAAGAAAATAGCGCAAAAACGTTTCCCTGTGACATACCTTTATTTTGAGAAGAAATCTGTTATTACCGCCTGCTTTCTGGACGACACTTGGGCGGAGACGGCAACTTTCCTTAGCGCGGTCGAGTGCCCCACCGCACTCGCACTGTCGGAGCTACGCATCCCGTGCGCGGACAATATAGCACAGCAAGGCCTCTTCTAGTTTACGGTGCACCACCTTCCAAGGCCGCTTTCTTTTCGCGTTGAACTTCTCGCTCTCGAAAGCCCGTAGAATATCGGCCTCAATTTTCATGTACGTGGCCAAACTGCTTCTCTTGACGTCGTAACTTTCCGTCACTTGTCGAGAGACGCCCTCCTTCAAGGCCCTCAGTATTTCCACTTTCGTCGCTAAATTCTTAGCCTAGTACGGCTGCAACGGAAAACGAGTAGCACAACTGACCAATAATCGGAGCGGCAAAATCGCGACACCTGGCGCTATTTTTCCCGAGCGTGCCGATAGCGAGAGTGCCAGTCACGTGGCATTTTTCAACGCGGGGGTGGCCGGCGAAAAATTGAGGGATAAGATAGCTGTTAAAATGGCAGGCTTTAGGATCACCGCGTTGAGGCATAAAACGTGACTGTCACTCTTGCTATCGGCACGCTCGGGAACAATAGCCCCGCGTGTTGCGATTTTGCCATTCCGGTCGTCAGTCACGTGCGCTACCCTTTTTCCGTTGCAGCTATGCTTCTGCCGCTTCCATGCCAGGAGAGCAACGCGCTGAAGCACGGCAATACAGAGCAAAACTGGTGCGAAACACGGAGAACCGGAAGAGCGAAGAGCCATGGGAAAACCAGAAAAACCACTTGTGCACCTCGAATGGATAGCGGTCATACCCTTTGGAACGGACGGTAGCTAGCGCCACGTGCCGAATTTGTCCGAATTAACCATAGTGCGCCGCATTCCCTCCGAATTAAGGAGCGTTTGCTGCCATTGACTAATACATACGTTTGACGGGACCGAATCGGCAGTTCAAATTATCCGAATTTCCGAATTAGCGGGGGTTGAAATAACGAGGTTTTACTGTACAATAGTTTTAATTAATTAGTCTCAAAAAGATATAGCCTCCCGTTTTGTGCTACTTGATTGCAAATGTTTTTACCAATGTAATATCATTAAATCAGGCTTAAAATAGCATCACCGCACAAAAGATGTTTTTGTGAATGGAATTCTATAAAAATTTCCTAGAATTTTTATAGAATTTCCAAGAAGGAGCACCTAATTAAAATTACAAATTTATTGATAACTCAGGATCTAGAAAAGTTATCTGAAAGTTAATTGCATGCTTGAAATCACCACTGAGAAATATATCACTATACTAAATTTCAACACAATAAATGAAAAAAAGAATGAAAAAAAAAAAATGAAAAGAAGTTGAAGATCAACATCCGCTGTAAAAGTGGGCCAATCCCAGAGGCAGTTCAATATACCGGCGGTAATGATTGCCTTCGGGATCAAAGCAACTTTCTCACCCAGAGCCAATTGTTTTTCCAGAGTATGTGCGCATATTTTATTACCTCCTCGGAGCTAATTTTGTATAATACGATATGCGGATGATACAAATACTTTCCACAACCCCGAGAGATCCGTGTCAAGAGTCTACTTGCTACGGGGATGAGCTGAGCTAGTTCGTTATAGTTCATTTCGGGTGGAACCAGCTGAACAAAAGTTAAGAGGGAGACAGGAGATAAGAATGGCAAATCTACCGCGGGACAGTTGGTAGTCGAGCGGTCGGTTCGCCATTCTTCCGTCTCCTTTCTTCCTTTGTTCAGCTGGTTCCACCCAAGATTCTACTGTAGTTCTAGAGCTATTAGGTATATTGCAAGAGGCCTTTGTACCGGCTTCAACTACTGTTTGTGTGCTGCCCTTTGCAGTGTCACACGGGTATCCTGGGAGGCGGCCATTACGTCTCGTACGCATGCAATCCCAACAACCGGTGGTACTGCTACAACGACAGCAGCTGCAAGGTGGGTAGCGTAAAGTCGAGCAGGTGCTCCTAGTGTTTTGCCCAAAACCAGGGCTCAGACTGGACGTTCTGCAAGTGTACTGTCGAGACCGGTTATAACGAAGTCGGTTATAACGAAATAGCGGCTACAGTGAAGCGATCACGATTTCCCATTTACTTTTGCACTTCGTTATAGCCGAAGTCGGTTATAACGAAATAGCGAATATAGCGAAGTGATTTCCGATTCCCGTTGACTTCGTTATAACCGGTCTCAACAGTAGTAGATTGCCTGCCCCAACCTCCCGAGAGGCCTTAGCAATACTGGAAACTCCTGCGGCGCGAGGGCCAAAACTGATCGAACTGCCCCTGGTGAGCCTGGAGTCTCCAATAGCAGACAAACTCATCAGAACGCATTGGCTTTGTCTGTCTCCACACGCGCAAGCCAACAAAAAAGCATTGCGACTTTTTTTTTTCTTGTTTGTTTGTTAAAAGCTATTTACCATTTCATAAGTAAAGGATGTGTTCTTTCCGTGGAAATTTTTCTCGACTTTTAAGGCATGGTTTTGTTTTTTTTTTAGCTAAGAAAACATTCTGATGTCGCAGTTTATGTAAGGTATGCGAGACACGAATCTATCTTATGCCATTTTTTTTGTTAATACTTAAACATCTTAAACTCTCAAAACTTGGCTACAGCTCAACTCTAGTGTCTCAATCAATCGGTACGTCTCACCTTTGCTGTTGACATTACTGTTTTCACGAACGTCTTCCCTATAACCCGTTTTGTCGAGAAGACAATCTGGTTCATCCTGCCGACACCATCGCCAGCTATAAAAATAATAGGCAGCAGAGAACCTATCCCGATATATTCACTACAGCGTCAACATGCTGCATGGAGACGATACTGTGTTTGCAGGATTCTAACACACACCTCGCCAAAATCGGTGCCCAAAACTAGATGTGCGTTAAAATCGGAACCAAAAACCGAAACTCCAAAATACTCTATATTAGGGAGATAAGACCGTGGCGCCCCAAGCGGTTAACTCTAGAACTACGCGGATGGGACAACGAGTACAATGACAAATACAACGGCTGGACTTTGTGTTCTCCGGTGAGGGGGAGGACGGGCTGCATGAACAATGCAGCATGCACGGTGCCCAGCTCTGCCCAAAAGCAGATGTGGGTCAAGCTCGCATTCTCCGACGACTGCTTTCGGGATGGAGATCTGGCACTTAGCGTCACTGCGTTTATTGTTAGTATTTTAAACACTGACCAGCACCGGTTCATTCTCAACGCTGTTGTTTGATGCCACACATGCAAAATGCTAAAGCCGCTCTTTTTTTTATTTATTTAGTTTTGCACAGACACTGCAATGGTCAAGACAATTGTTGTTGCCGTCTGAGATTTTTTGGAGGGGTAATTTGTGTTGTCTGCGAACTTTTTTTTTTATTTGCGATCACTTTTCGTTTTGATTTGGAACGGAACCCCCACTATGCCTCTTCTGTTTTCAGTTGTGCATTATTCCAACAGCAGAAGTGACAAAAATAATGACTGCACAAACACTACAAGCATTGCAGCAGTGTTGTGGTTATGTGCCACTAGTTGGCAGCTGTTAGCCAGTAGGCTCTCGAGTGATATCCACTGCCGACTGGCACGCTGACTTTCAAGCTTGAGCATCTTTTTGTGTTCACCTATTTTGAGAAGGTGGCATCAAAAGTAGGTTTTGAGAATATAGTTTTAATGGATGAAGCCTTCTTCCTGGTTTTCAGATGCGAACCAGTTGTACATAATGCTCAAAACGGCGTTGAGCCTCCTTAATAGATAAATAAATGTCCGTTTGCATGCACGCTATAATTTGATTGTCGTTGCAGTTGTGATCAGTTTATACTGCTGTGCAAACGCAGTGAACGTAGTTAATTGTTTCAGCTCTTGCAATTGGGTAAAACGAGGCTCGCAAATGCCTAAAATGTCGCAAAGTCTATACTTTTTACAACGAAGCTGTTATGTGCTAGGGTCTGGGAAAACATGTGTCTGTGGATGTTGACAGAAAACTCCCCATTGGTCGTGGCAAGTATGAATAAATAAAAATAAAAAGAGGGGACAACCAGCGTAAGTCATTCTTCCAATTATTAGATAGTGAAGTCCTGATCCCTTGTTATCTCTAGGCATCGTCCTAGAAGTCGTCCTCTAGGCATTGTGCTCGAGGTCGTCCTAGGCGTCATAAAAATAACAGCTTTGCTGGTCCTCCATCTTCACTCAAAGTGAAAAGGCTCTACAGTTTTTTATTGCGTCGTCCGCCGTCACCGGTGGCCGTAGCTTTTTGGAGGAGTTTCCCGTACTGGCGAAGTTACGTCGTATTTGAGCTTGGTCTTCCGTCTCTTGCCGCAGGAAGTCCAACTGGACCAGATAGACTCGGACTCTGCCTACATGCTGTTCTACGAACGGGAAGGCATAGACTACGAGGCCTACATGCCCAACACAGAGGGCAAGGTGCCAGACGCCAGGGACATTGACGACGAGTTCGAGAACGACTTTCGCAAGATGTGCGTCCTCCAGTAGGTGCCGCTTTGGCCGACAACCCACAGGCGCGGGAACGGGCCTCGGAAGCCGGCTGGCATGGGTGCGTGTCCGGCACCTGCCCCACCTTGCATCGCTCCACAACCAGAGGCTTTTGCCGCGTGTACAACCGGCGCCCCGTCGGAAGGGCATTCGAGCTTTGTGACCTGCCATCCTTCTTGTTCCGTTTTTGATGAGGGTGTCGCGTCTTTTACGTGTTTTGTAAAAACAAAAATAGAAGCTAAAGCTTTTTCATTTTTTTTTCCTTATTTTAGAGCTGGTAGGAACGAAGGTGCGTGCTAATGGACTTAAGTGAGAATGCGTCTAGTTCAAAGCCACATTTAGAGCAAATCGTTGCGGTTTGGCCGACCACAGTGGCCACAAGCTGACGTCAAGAGCCACGAGAGAGAATGGGATGGTGTGGGCAGTCAGGCTAGTTGTGTGCTAGGTCATTTTTCTAATCAAGTCAGTTTTCTTGTTTTTTTTTATACATTTTTCTCAAGAAAGTAGTAAAGGCGAGTTTAATATAAAAACATGAAAAAAGCTTTTGTGTACATATATATATATATATATATATAATTATCTGAACTATACATGAATATGCATATCTGCATGCAGAGGTAGCCAGCATGGAAAATGAGCCTTGGTGTTCTGTTGAGCCTCATTTTTAAAAAGACTAAGAAAGAAACAAAGCTAGAATGCTGTGTGATGAAAGACTGTTGTGAATGAAGATGGAAGTATTAAAAATACTCGTTGCCATAGTTGCAGTGTTCCATTTCTTTATTTCTGCATCAAAGTGACTAGAGGAGAGTACTAGCAGTATCTTAGTTACACCGTCTTCTTCTGGGAGCACATCTATATTCTCGTGGTGGTAGTAGCAAGTACAAAAACTGGAGTTACCTTCGGAAGACGAGACCAAACAGGGCTGAGTGTGTAACAAATGCACTGGACTTTCTCCCTTTTAACAGGTGCCAGTCATTGTGGATGGAGTGCACAGTAGGCATGTGAACAACAGCTTGAAACACACTTTTCACATATCACACAACGAGAGGATGCATGGTTTCCCCCAAGTCTTCGAAATGGTGTTATACGAGCCCTTTGAAGCATTCGACATTGAATAAAAAGGAAGATACCACACAGACTGGTAAGGCTTGAACAAATGAAGCTACCTGCTGATAGTTCTCTAAAAACTTTGGTCATCATCTTAGGACAAGCGATAATTCCCAGCCCTAGAAGAGTGAGGGAGCCTTTTAAGTACCGTTGAAAGACATGTGCAACCTCCAGACAACCAAGAGAGAAATGACAGCCATGAAAACTGCACGTCACCAAAGCTTTGTTTTCCCGCCCTCGTGCATGTTGACGGCTGAACAACCACTCTTACTAAATACCAGTGCGGACAAACATCCACTTAAAAAAGCACACGGTTTTAGTAGATGCAATCTGGGTCGAAAGTGTATTCCGCCAGTCCAAATAACATCTACTGCAAGGAAGTTTCATAAAACAAATTTTTAAAAATCTGCATTTTTTTTTTTTTTTTGTTTGTGTGTGTGGTTTAATGTTTTTGACTGCTGCAACTATTTTCTTCCGCAACAGACCAAAACCGTGTCTTTTCCAAAACGTAGTTTGCTTCCTTGTCGGTTCTCTAGTGCTGCCCTAATACGGCCAGACAAGCATAATAAAATGCGCTTTCGCTTCGGACACAATTGGTCTAGTCAAAGAGGCGTCCACCAAAACAAAGTCTCGTCTAGATTAAGAATCGCTGCTTATTACGTATCATCACAAAGCACTATGGAAATAAGGCCACTGCATGTGTATAGCATTGTCCCAAAAAGGAAGTCTGAAAAATAAGGACTGCAAACCGACACGCACACCACGCTTGCATGCACATCGCCATCCGACACTTCCGCGGGCCGACGGCGGACGTGGAGCGGAACACCAACAAGGGTCCTTGCGTTAATGCGGCGTCTGAATATATTAGATGCTATATCACGTGGCACAGAGTCCTCGGACCAAGTGCGGCTGCTCAGGGGTCGTCGCCCGTCGTTTTAAAAAGATCATCAATAAAGACGACTCGGACATGTGACTGGCAAAGGGGAAGACCCAGGTATGCACACTTTCTATGTTTGCTTGCGCACTCGACGGACTGCACACGCTGTAGTTAAAAAAACAAAAATGTAGAGATTACAAAGTATACGTCGGTCAGTTCCGACAAAAAAGGCTATTTCACGAGTTTCTCCTTGTAAGAAAAAGTACTATACTCATTGTCGCCTCAAGAAAAGAAAAGCAAGTTCTGCACATAGTTCATGAGGTGTGCAAAGTGGTTCTTACAAGGGTTGGTTGTCAGGAAAAACAATTGTATGGTGTGCATTTGAAAATATGTTACAATCAGGTAAAAAGAAAGTCAATTGTACGGCCAAGTACCAACTAATCTGCCACCCAAAAGGAGAATTTAGCAATGTTCCACGGGAGCCAATCTATTTTTTGCTAGAGTTCTTGAGGTGAGAACGAGCATAGCATGGTCCGCCCTCAAATGGTGTGATGACGTACAGATCAGATGAATATATAAAGTTTAAAATCTTGTTTCCTATGTTAAAAAAGAAGAAAAAAAAAAACATTTTAGGCCAACAAAAACCTGTATGTATGTACAGACCACTTTTCAACAATATAAAAAAGGGAAAGTACCATTACTTTTCAGAAACTTTACAAATGGAGCTGGAGGTACCTCCAAAGATTCTATAGCTTCGGAGATCTGAAAATAAATGCGTGCAAAGGAATAAGTCAAACGGAGCTCACCAATCCTGCTCCAAAACACTTTTTCATTACACGAGAGAAATCCTATAAGTTTGAAGATTTGAGCCGACCAGCACAGGCTATTTATAGAAACAAAACGCTCGTTATGCTAATTGTCGAATGGTATTCCCACGAGTTGCCAAACTGAATTTTAGGGAAGTCAACAAATGTAAGTGAGGGCTGAATATCCATTATTCATGTATGTCTCGTCTACACTTGGCTCCCCCAAGCTGCCAAAGGGTTGGAAGCTATGTGCTCATTGGACCAGTCGTACATTTCTCCTTCGCGAAATGATCGCACACGCCCATACCCCCATGCAGGGAATGCGGTCAAGTGATGAAAAGCAGGCGGTTGATTGGTCCAGCAAACACGTAGCTCCCACCACACTGTCAGCTTAGGGCTGAACAGGGTGCAGCGGCAACTTCTGCGAAACTGATGCCATTCACTCAAATCAAACAATCGGAGCACCTACAGGTCCAAGCACAAAGTTGTGAAATTTTAAAAGCATGTGCTGAACCTATTGCACTTTTTCACCAAACCTCATTACACAAAATTGTCACCGTCTAAAGGGAAATCTCATTTGAGCAAACCACATTTGTTCGTGGCTATAAACAATCCCGTCGGGATCTTTTGCTGCCACAAATAAATGTTGCGAAGCAATACTTCAAACTCTCCACATCTACGGCCAAGAACACCCACGTCTTGCAAAGTTAATTCATTCCGATGTTACCCGAGTCGGGCAGGAAGATCATTTCCGTGCACCACGCTTTCCACCCTACATTCACACACTTCGACACAAATTACGGAACTGGCACGACACCTGAAACCCCAAGACAGGTGCCGCCAACAAACTTTTCCACGCAAGAACCGTCCATTTGTCCCCGAGATTGTAGCTCACGGCAAAACCGACTGTAAATTCTGAGACTGGTGCACTCACACGCGTTGCAGCCGCCGCTGTGGTGACGACGGCAACGGCAGCGGGGTGCACGTAGACTTACTTTCCGTTCTTCCAGGTGCGCGTGTTGTAGATTTCGTCCTCGGAGGTGGACTCGTCGTGGTACTCTGCGGTCTTGAGCAGCTTGCGGTGCACGCCAAATCCCATGAGTTTCTTGACCTTGTGGTCGTCGTCGTCGTCTTCGTCGTCGTCGAACAGGGTGCCTCCGTTGCTCTGGACTGGCAAGAAGCCCGCCCGCTGGGGCTGACGCCTGCTCAGCACCACGCTGTAGATGCACAGGGCGCTCACCATGGCCAGCAGGACCAGCGAGCCTGGGAAGAGGAAACAATGCCACGTTCGAGCACTTCTCTGGTGGCACAGAATGGCCGAGGTCATTGCGTTCAAATCCAACCGAGCTTGAGGGAGGAACAAGACAATCCTAAGAGTGATCTCGCACAGCGAGAGCCGTAAGGATACTTTCGGAAAGATTAGAAGGGAAGCCACCTCAAAGCTCGTCGAGTATATAATCTCCAACGTCGCCGAACCCAGCAAAGGCAAGCAAACTGTCTGTGTTGCCGACACAACGTGGCAGATAAGGCTACTTTCAATAGTTATGCAATACAATTATAACAAGGAAAACCGAAAACGAGAGAAAGATTATGAGACCAGAATCTATGCAAAATTGTACTTGGTGGCTTCATGCAATGTAAGTGACCAGATACAGATGCATGTAAAAGGAACATAGCTCGATGGTCCCTCGTTGTATGCCACACCATTTTGGAAGCATGCTAGGAAGGGAATGGGGGAGGGGGTGGCACACACCTGCCAGGACCACAAAGACGTGTTTTGGCAAGCCAGCAACTAAGATGTTCTCCTGGAGGCGGAACTCCACGTTCGTGGCACGGCCTGAGTATACAGTCACAATCTGCAAAAGAGCCAAAGTTGACACTGAGAAGGTTCTCCGAAAATTTCGCTGTTTTAGTCATTTTTATGCCAGCTTTCTTTGCACATTGTTCCCATTTAGTATCTATTTAAGTAAAAAAAGAGATGGGCTGAAATCGCTGCTGCCACCACATTGATTCTCGAAGAAATCCATTAGCATTTTGCGCGGCGGTTATGTACAACAAAGCATGGTGAATGCAGCCTCTCGGCACTTTTCTGTGGGGTGAACATTCCCGAAACCCCGCTCCTCCCTGGTGAAAGCAGATCAGGTCACTCAGCGTGCGTATGAAGGACGTGCACGTGACCGTGCGCTTACGACGAGGTAACTGCGAGTCAAGAACGGTGTGGCATGCCGAAGAACGGGTCCGCAGCCCGTGTTCGTCCATGGGTCTCTAAAGCCAGCAGAAACTTCTGAGGGCGTCCAAAGTGTACACCCGCACCCCAGCCGCTTATTCCGAGAGGTTAGGCAATAGCGTACAGAGCGACGGCGGCCGCGCAGCGTTGGCTGGTTATATATAGAAAGCGACTCCTTGACGTAACACCTAGCAACCTAGGTGTTACGTCAAGGGAGTATTTGGGCAGCCGGCAGGACGCTGCGAAGTGGCGTGTAAGGGTGGGCCAAGGTGGGTTAATATTTTGGAATGAGCCAACTGCAGACTGTCGCTGCAAAGCGGCGTGAATGGGGTGGCCGGTGTGGGTTAACGCGGGCCCTAGTGATACACCCGCCGTCCCCCTCTGCACGGCGCCGAAATTGGCAAAGGGGGACGTCGCCAACGTTCTTTGGTTGCTAGGTGTTACATCAGGGCATCGCTCTCTAAAATCAGCCAAACCAGTGTGGCCTCGGTTGCTACGCATACTATTGCCTAACCTCCCGAAATATGCATCCCGCCGCCAGCCGTCGGCGCTTGTGGAAGGTGTTTCCTAGTCAGTTTCCTCAGCCAGTGGGGCTGGGGTGCCATTCCGTGGCGACATTGCAAACTCTGAACACACCAAACGCTCCAAACCGTCCGAGGTCAGCGCATGTACCAATGCACTAATGCCAACGCACTAAAAAAAAATTTATACAATGAGATTTACACATTGAGTGACGGTTAACAACGCATGAAAGAAGCCTGCGTCCAGCTATGCATCGATCGGGTGATAGGCAGCAGTTGTTGCCTACCGCCCGACCGGTGCGTAGTACTGGTTACCATACCCACCGCTAAGAGGTAATGTTTCCACTGGCAAAACTGTGTTACAGTCAAAAAAATATTTATTTCATCTCCTTTAGACTCGTAAGCAGATAGAATTATATACTTCCATCCTGAATCATCCTATTCATACTGTTGTAGTGACGGCTAGCTTATACGCTTGTTACGGGATTCACGCTGCAACGACAACAGTTCTCGCAGTGGCTCGCCTTCTTCGTCGGCACCTGTCGCACTCACCAATGCTGTTGCGGCACTACTAGGAAGTCGTCGGGTGGAAACGAGGGATCGCTATCTAGGGCGCGGCAAGTGCGTCAGCCGGAGACGTTTTGCAGGCACCACGCTGCAGCACGACTCTACGTACCTTGGTCATGGGGAAGTAGTCCGTGGCGGTGACGACCACGGTGAAGACGCCTTCGCCCAGCGGCAGCCAGAACTCGCCCAGGTGCGTGGTGGGCTTGAGCATAGCCTGCCCGTCCACCGTGATGTTGGCACTCCCGATGGGGTCCCCGCTCTTGGTGCGCACAAAGCCGGTCAGGCCACGGGTGCTCTGCGGTTGGACGGTTGATGGGAAGGGTTGCGGGTTCGGACGGCTTCCGGTGTTCGAGCAAAGGACATTTTAGATCTGTTCACTGACATTGTTTCCAAAGTTCTGATGGAACACTGGCAAAGAGGCCCTAATTTTAAGTTAAAAGGGCACTGACAAGTCAAAATAATTTTTTTTTTTTTTTAATTATCTGAAACAATTGAAAACGATGCATGGACATTACCCTCAAAAATCGAAGTTTGGGAACTCAGTATGTGTGAAATAAAAGAAAAATAAACAATACCAAAAGGCAAATTCGAAGTTCCCACGTGATTTGCACCAGTGCAGTGACGTCAAAGATTGAGTCGTCCTGTAACTCGAGTTTCTCTCCTACCTCCAAATGCTCCGAACCGTCCCGACCGCAAGTGTCCTGTTCTTTCGCGTCCCGCGATCAGCAGCGCTTCTCCGTGCGTGCCGCCTATCGCTGCGAGCAGACGATGCTTCACTTTCGAGTTTAAGTTCTTTCAGGGCCCTTTCAGCAATCTCAAATTCTTTGAAACGGTGCGAAGTCGAAGAGGATGCGCAGTGGACTTTGGTGAGCAATGTGAGGGGTCATGTCTCGCCAGTGCTGCGTGAAAGGCTGCCCCGGCAGTGTCACAACCGGAACTATGTTGCACAGGCACCAAACCCAGTTGTTTTGACTGTTTGACAATTTTCTTTACGAAGCCTGAAAGCTCGTTGGGCACCGAAAAGAGAACTTTGTCCGATTCCCCGATCATCCGCAGTGCTACATGCGCCGAGCGCTGCTATGTTTTCTGAAGGAGGATAAAAAGCCAGGAGACGACATCATTTTGGGACTCAGATTTTTTATATTTCAAAAAAAGTGCATTCACATTCCCGCTAAAAAACATGTTTAACGAATGGCGTTATTTAATATTATACAAATGTCGCTTACAAAGCTTCTAAATTTCATAATCGATTACGTCACAAATAAAAAGAAGCAAGGAGGTGAGAAGAGGGAAAGAAAAGCGCCAAAAATAAAAAAAGACCACGCACGTGGAAAAATTTTTTTTTCCCATTGTGGTATTTTTTTTGTGTTTATGACTACAATTTGCATCATTTTAGACAACGAAAAAATATAACCTTTGGGGTATCGGTGCTTCTTTAAGGATCAACTAAGTAATTTAGCAGATGCATGAAAAGTAACATAAAAAAATTCAAATCTCTCATTCATTAGTAAATTTTGAGCATAGGAAACAAAAAGACAATGGAAATATGAGAGGGAATAACAGCCTCCAACATCTCTCTCAGAGAATGTTTACTATCACAGGTGCACTGCCGAGAAGCAACATCTGCGGAGCTCGCTTTCAGGGGTGTTGCTCCTATGCAGTGCACCCATGCTCGGTAAGAAGTGCACTCAACAGGGCTAGCTCGCCGCGATCAACACTTTGAAGGACATCAATATCGCAGTTCATCTCGAAGCGAATATTGATTATTGTAGTATTCTAAACAACTATTCAAAATTTCAAATATGTGCACAACAATACGAGGTTGCCACTGGCTCTAAAAGACTGGAATGCACTACCTGACAGCATTGTTTCTATAAATGAAACTAACGTATTTGCAGCAGCCTCTTCCTCTCAAACGCCTCATATAGACTCGTGTTTTTTTTGTGTTTTTTTTTAAATATTGTGTTTATGTTGTGATCATTTTTTTAATAATATGTATATGCCTACTTCATTGTATAATGCCCACTCGAGCACTCAAGAAAAAGTAAATTATGATGATGATTCCTCCAACATTAGTTAAACACTAGCTGCATATACTATAATAGCTCCAGCCAGTGGATCCTGAGTGGTCGCATGTCTTGATTTCCAAACAGCCAGTCTCGTCAAACAAGTGCAGAACAAATGCCTCGCGTCAATTTCAAGTGTAAGCATGAAGCAATAAAACTGCATTGTTATAAGGAACAACTCGTGGCTTGCCTGGATTAGGAACTGAAGGAGAGACTGCTTGTTGGCCACCCATAGGTCAGACGACGTCGCGGCATCCGGTGCAGCGCAGCAAGATATAAACGCTGACAGCTCGTAGGTTCCAGCGGTCTTGTAGCTGAATTCCTGCGGTCAAGACAAAACAGACACCACTGAGAACAATGCAATCTTGGAGACACGACTGCAATCACATTGTTGCACATGTATGCATTCAAATGCAGGGTCACAAAACCATGATAAAGGTTAAACTTTGCACTTGTGCTGCGAAGAACATCGAAGTGTCCACGTACGGTTCTGTATATAATACTGCATATGCTTTATTTTTCAAACAAAAGAGTCTCGGGGATGAGGCAAAAAAAGATGTGTTGTCCTTTGACGATGTGTCAGCCCCAATTACAACATTCGGGAGGAAAAAAAAAACAGAACAGAAAAGAGCACTTACAAAAATTGCCAAAAATCGTCAGGGCAGCAGCAAACATTTTGTATACATGACCAAGGTAAAGCAATAACTGCCAATCATGAATAATTCAGCATTTATTGTTCAATGATTCTTTTAAATGTATGAAATTAAATGTTAGCTTGTGCAATTTGACCTATCATAGGACGTCTGTTTGGTACTTTCAGTGCAAGATATGCAAGTTCTTGAGTACCATAGTGCAAACTTTGACTTTACTATAGTGACTGCCTTTTATACAGTAGGATGTTTATAACTCACCATCAAGGAGCCATTCATTGATGTGAAATTCGATTCACCCCTTACGATTCCGCCGGATGTGTTGTCTGATGAAAGAAAACAGGAGAGTCAAAATGTTAACAAGTAATGCTCAAACACAATTACTTAAGGTAAGAATGCTTTTCTAAGAACAAGGATGCATTCGGATGCCCTTTGCACGAAGGGACAATGCAGCACAGAAGTTCGAGGCATAGCTGAAAAACAGGCAGGACGCACAATGCTGCTACAAAAAAAAAACACAAAAAAACCCACATATAAACAGAAGATTGACTCAAAAACTCGGACGAAAGGTTTTGCAAAAGGATCCTCTCAAGAAGCAAATCTTAAGCTCAACAACTTTTATGAATAATCAACTTAATATTCTCTAATAATAATCTTCATTTAAGGAGCCCCAAAACAACCACAATGGTCTTTTGATTGATGCACCTCCACAAAAACAGCATTAAGAAAAAATTGAGCGAATCTCCAAGTGGTGATTGATGTTGATTGGGGCGAAGCTCTGGTGGTGCTTGTCTGCGTAGAAGCTGAGCCGCAGCATGCTGAGCCTTTCGTTCGTCTTCGTCCATGTCAGAAAGAGAATGTGTGGTATGGAACGTGGTTATATATGCATTTGAGCATTTGACCGCAGTGCCCTCTCGTCCATAGACGTTGAGCCAATGCATGCAAAGTTTAACGCGATTATATACGCATTTGACCGCAGCGCCCTCTCCTGTATAGACGTTGAGCGGCTACATGCAACGTTTCATCCATGACAGAAACCCCAGCTTTTGAGTTACTACCACATCTCAGAGCCCCCTACTCGTCCCGCAGTCGTGGCCGAGTGGTTAAGGCGATGGACTAGAAATCCATTGGGGTCTCCCCGCACAGGTTCGAATCCTGTCGATTGCACAAACATTTTTTTTTTTATTATTTCTTTTATTTTTTTATTTTTTGCCTTACGTGACCACGTGAACTCACGAGCACGAGCACCAGCAAGATCGATGTGAGCACGGACGCCGGACGGACAAGGCTAGATCCTAAGGAGCTTCGCCCCTAAAAAAATATATAACCAGACTTAAGGCACACCTACCGCAAAATTCAGAGCGAACGCACACATTTAAAAAATCGCCCGCCCGCCTGCTGCCTCCCCTCCCCCCCCCCCCCCCCCCCCCCCCCGAAATTCCAGGTGATAACGGGGAGATAAAGAACCAGTAAAGAAACAACCGAGGCAGGGGCGTAACCCAAGGTCGCGCGATCTGATACCCAGCAATATAAGTCGGACTGAGCTGGCTACCCCATTCGGACTTGTGTCAAGAAACCGTAAAGGCTTATTTCATGTCTGCTCAAGATAAGGTACAGCTACACGATCGAAAAAAGGGTTGAAGTCGTCCAGTGGCATCGCAAGAATGGGAGCAACGTAACCAAGACGGCACACCATTTCGAAGTAGACAAGAAGCGTGTGCGAGAATGGATTACCAAGTACCAATTGCTCTTGCAACAGTGTCACTGGAAGAATAAGTTGAAAAGAGTGATGAGCAACGGAAGGCCTGTTTTTAGCGAAGAGGTCGACGACGCACTGATGGACTTCCGATCAGCCAGACTGAACTGGACTGAACGATCAGCCGGTCGAGCCATCAGCAACTGCCTTCTGCAAGAGCATGCGCGACAGCTAGCTGCAAAAATATGACCGCAACTTTTAAGCATCAAGCCACTACATCGCTCGGTGGGAAAAATGCTTCAATGTATACATGCGGGTTGGAACGAACGAAAGCGAGAAGCTCGGTGCTGACTACGCAGAAGCGATCACGGTGTTTTGAAGAGCTGTTAAAATGTAGCCTGAAGCACGATTATTTCTACTAGTCAAACCCGACTATATCGAACCCGTTTACATCGAATTATCTCTTATATCGGACAATTTTTGTGCACAGTAATGTTACAGCGATAATATATAGCAAAAACTACGGTTGCATCGAACAAAAATAGCAGCCGCTGCCGATATATCGAACTACCAAGAGCGCCGTTTTGCTCTGCAAGCTGGCTTTCCCCCAACGCGAGCGGCCGCATTGGGGGAAAGCCAACTTGTAAAGCACACTGGCTTTTTTTTTTTCTGAACGGCCGCGTCAACCGCTTGGAAGAAAAAAAAAATCTTTTGCGAAGGGAGCGGGGAGAGGGTGCTCCGTGCTCCCTCTCCCCAATTGGTCCGCAAAAGAGAATATTATTTTTTCTTCCGGGCGGTTGACGCGGCCGCCCGGGAGAAAAAAAAAAGCCAGCTTGCTCTGCTAGCTGGCTTTCCCCCAATGCAGCCGCCTGCCTTAGGGGAAAGCCAACTTGCAGAGCAAAACGGCGCTCTGCAGGAGAAGGTGCTCCTGCTCGGACGTGCTCCGTGCTCTCGGTATAGTTCGGAGCTAATGCGAGAATATAGAAGGCAGCGACCTCGGCATTTTGGAGTCCGTCGCCAGCGTAGAAAAATATCGTTATCGCAGATGCAATGAAGAAAGAACAGCAGAAGGTGCAAGACTATTTCATTGTGTAATATGTCAGCAGAAAGTGGATTTTCGAGTCACATTCATGAAAACTTTTATATCCGTTATATCGAACTGGTAGACTTTTTTTGCGAGTTCGATATAAACGGGTTTGACTGTGCTCTATAGCAAACATGGATCAGACAATGATCCGGATGGATTCACCAGCTTCAAGGACCAAGCTGCCAGGGAGCCGAGCATTCGAATTGCGAACACTGGCTGTGCACCACGAGGAATGACAGTGTCCCTGTGTGCAACGGCGACAGGAATAAAGCTGCCTGCGCTAATCGTCCATAAAGAACCAACCGCTGCATGCCACCAAAAGCGCTGTTTTCCTTACGGATTCCAGGTGGGTCGCATCTACTAATTATTCCATGGTTAGAGAACAATAAGTAGACGCTTACAACCACACAGAACGAAGGTAGTAGCTGCATTCGTATTACTTAGACCTCCTGCACCGATCCAGAAAAGTGTAGGGCGGTGTACTTCCGGTCGTATATCTAAATACACATACCAGAAGTAGAGTGCCCTACACTTTTCTGCACTGGTGCAGAGTTGTAAGTAAATCGAACGCAGCTAATAGCGAAAACTGCATTTACGTGGTTTACGCAAAAAAAAAAAAACTTCGAAACAATTCGATTGTTGCGCCCCACAGAGCCAAATCTAGTTTAGTTTTGTCTCGTGGTGGTCGCTGCTCTCAAAACAAATGTTCAAATGTTTCCGTTTATTTTTTTAGCTGCATGCAGACCGTTCCAAAAACCCGAATCCGTGACGATCAGAAATTTGTTTGACGTTTGCTAGGTGGCACAAGCCTCCAGCCAGAACGAAAAGTTTCAACAGCATTTCCCTACCCATTTATCTTGGTCCATGGCCGCTTGCATGGCCGTTTTGGGAAAACGCAACGAATTTGCAGCAGAATTCATTTACGGTTTAATGCTCATAGAAAACAAGCGAGTCACGTGATCCAAGAATGGGTGAATGACCATGCCAGTGTTTCTGAAATGGGTACGGCGAGCCTGGGGGCCCAACAAGGACGACGTGAGGCGCTTGCTCGTCCTTGACTAGGCGCCCATCCATAAAATGGAGGCGGCCCGGGAGGCGCTTGAAGCTAAGGACACGGACGTCGTCTTGATACCGGGTGGCTGTACAGTTAAACCTGGATGTAACGAACCTGTATACAACGAAATCCTCTATTTAACAAACTTTTTCAATTCCCCGACGCAATCTTCATAGAAGCGCTTGTATTTGTGAACTCCATGTAACGAAGTGCTCGCACTGGATAACCTTGATTTAAGGGGGCACGCGGGTTTGGGGGACCAAAAAATCGGCAAATTGTCGATTTTGTAAAAGTATTTTTTTCATATCATTTTCGGTGTTATGAAACCAGTACAAAAGTTTCATGGCTTCACAAAGTCGCTAAGTAATGTAAAATTAACAATAAACTTACTGGGTGAGCATGAAAATCACGGAAAAATGCGCAAATTTAAAAAAACGCCCGAGCGCGAACGGCGCGACTGATCGCCTCCATCTTGGGCGCGTTCGAAAGAGCGCATTCTTCGCTTTCCGGCGGAGTCACTCCGGTGATCCTGGGTTGTCTGGGAAGAGTACAAAGTGTCGAAATGCGCGACGCCTTGCACCCGCGCTCATTGGCTCGTTTGAGCACGTGACAATAGAACGCGCCTCCGTTGGCCGTTGCCACGGCAACCGGCTCCCTCTCGCCCGCCGCTTCGGCGCGCGCGCCGCGTGCGCTCCTCCGCCGCTCGCCGCTCCTGTTGTCGTCTGCCGTCGCGCGCGCTTGTTTCACACTTTCGTTTGCGTTACCGCGGCTGTGAAAAGTTTGTGAGATCTCATTCGTGGGCTCGCAGGTGATTTCTCGCCATGCCGAACCGACCTTTCAAGAAGAAACGCAAAACGCGTGAACAATTCGGCTCGAAAAAACGGAAATGGTGGAACGCCGATCTTCAAAAACGAAACTCTTTGTGCAACAGCGGCCAATCTGAAACCACCGAAAGTGCGCCGAGTTCAGCGATTCTGCCTTCGCAAGACGTGATTTCGACTCAAGAGAGTGGATGTAGCACCTCTTGCGACAGAGTGGGAGGTGGAACAGTGATTGCCCATTTGCAAACGAGCTACATGGAGCCAGATGAGGCGCGGGCAATTGCTGACCGAGTCGCGAAAGGCCGCGAAAAGCTGACGACAACGGCGGCCACCGAGCGCAAGTTTTCACTGACTTCCAAACACGACGAGGTGTCCGTCACTAATGAGACTGCATCTCGGTATGTAGTCACAGATGTGGACACAATTAGCAGCATGCTTGCAACTGCGTCTGTCTGTAGCCAATGCAAGGAAGCCGGCCTAACTATAAAAACGTCAACAGAGCACGGCCTGGCTGTGAAGTTTATTGTTAGCTGCTCTGCATGTGGAGAAAACAATGCTTTCTGGTCCTCACCCCGGCTGGAAAGTTCAAAAGCGTTTGATGTCAACATTAGAGCCATGCAAGCGATCAAGGGAATTGGCAAAGGCCAAACTGCTCTAAATGATTTCTT